TCTAAATAAGTACATTTGTTTGATGTTGGTGTTTTATTAGGATTTTATGAAATTGCAACGTGACAATGACATAAAATTAACTGTGTTTGATCACATTAGCAAAAAAAAAAATTATCAAGGAGTAAACATTGTTTTGATTGCTTGATTGGAGTGATGGATTTGGACAAACTAGACTTGCACAAATTGGCTCTCGCTCTTTGTCAAATGTTGATCGATGAGTGATAAAATTATAATTTGTTGCTTGGACCTAGCAATGCAACAATCGCTTGAACAATTCCATTTGTTCACAAGTCTCGATACATACTACACAATAGCAATGAGAACGATGCAAAAAACATCCATGGAATCTTCGACTTGTGTTGTCAAAGATGTATAAAAGTACAATATTGCTCTTCCAATTTTCCAACATGGCCATATTTTCATCGTTTTGTTCTGCAATTTTTCTCTTCAACCTATGCCGTGTAGCATTAGTATGCAAATTTTTGTCGAAATCAATTGTGACAAAGTACAATTGATGTAGGTTCATGAATTTGCTATATGTACTCAAGTATTACCTTCTTTTTTACTAGCTAAATTGATTCTACTCGATACTATTTTTTTAGTTCATTTTTTGTTAACAATGATAAGTGTAAAACAAGTCTACTAAGATGTGATAATATATTTTTAGACGCCATATTTATTTATTCTTAAGTTTGAACAACGCCAAAATTAAAAAGGGGCACGCGTCAAATAAAGCGTGCTAAACCAGGTTTTGTAATGTGTTTTTTTGTTTTTACATTGATTCTACTGTGACATTGTACAAATCTTGTTTTGCAATTTTTGTTTTTGCATTGATTCTGCCGTGATAGATTAGAAGTATAGTGTTACATTTATTTTCTTAAGATGATTTTGCGGTGACAAATTTAGGTTTCAATTTTTGAAGATTATCTTGCAATCTTTTGAATATATTTCTTTTGGAAAAGACATGTCAACTTAGTCAACAAAGTCTTTCAAGATCAATATGACTTATGTGTTACTCTAAGTAAAATACATTTTCCAAGTGAATCTTACCCTTGACAATGAAATGCACATAAGACATTGAGGTTGCAATAATACTTCTGCTCATTGATATACACTATACAAGTGTAAAAAATACAAGTTTCATAGCATTCCGGGTCTGATCAAGGCTTGAGAGTCAAAAAAGTAGTTGTGTGATTTAATCCGTCAATTGTTATCTAGAGATACTTTTAGAGCCATCACATCAATCACTTATGAAATACTTTGAATCAGATCCATGCAAAGTTGTAAAATCAATAAATATCAAACAAATTTTAATATTCATGTCCGGGTTTCTTGAAATCAATGAATCAACAATCACGGTTACACGTCCCTAGTAATTTCCAACCTCTAACATCTAGGCTTACAGAATTGATAAGAACCAATTGCAAACTCTATTTTGTTGAACATTTGCACATTATTTAATATCAATCAATGTTTGATATTGTATCAAAAACATAAGAAGCGAGCATTATTTTGCTATATTAGATGTAGAATGTGTCAAATTTATTTATAGTAAATATATATTGGTTAATAATCAAAGTTAATTTTTAATTCTTATATCAATCATTAGAATGATTGTTTAAAGTTACTTTTTTATGAGATCTGTATAAATTAGAAATACTAATGAGATTCCAATAAGAGTTATTGGAAATAAGTCTTTTGGCCTCATTTGCATCTTGAAACTTGTGTTGTGCATAAATTTCAAGTTTCAAGTTGTTGAAATTTTAGTATTATAATTATATCAAAATCATATATCTTGGTCTTCATAGCAAAATCAATAGCTTTACACTTATCATTGTTCACAAAGAATGCAACAAAAAAAGTATGACTAATCATAATCACATCAACTAATAGAAGAAAAAGATCATAGTCGAATTCATCCAGCAAATTCATAAACCAACACCATTCTTAATTTGTATTGCCACTACAAGTTAAAAGCCCTTGTAGTGTTGTAGGTGAACAGCCTTTTGAAAGAAGACGGAGCTAGTAGCGATTTGAGATTGCATAGATCCACTAAAGATCGCACCATATGTGTACATGAACACGTTTAAGAACTTCACGACAGTGTGTCGTCAATAGGGACTCATCAAGTAAAAGAAAACTTGATGTGTCCCATCAAGCAATTTACGTTCTGATGTAATTCTATCAAGTAAATATCTCTTTTGATTCACAATTAAATTTTCACAATTTTGTTTCGTCTGCAAATTTGTAATATGTTTCAATAACAAATGAGAATAATTTATTAACAACTTTAGATTGTTGATGGTTCTCAATTTTTCATACCAGCCCATGTTTCATGTTGTTGAATAATGTATATACTTTGCACATAGAAATCTGCATTGATGTTTATATATGTTCCATGTCATATCCCATGTACAATCACATGAAGTTATCATAGAATAACAATCTCAAATGATGTATCTTATCATAGATTTTGATTATATGTTAGAAAAGTTCGGTATTTATGAATCTGAAAAAACCAACTAAATACAACATACAAGATAATCAATTTACATCATTCAATTTTTTTTTATCTATGATCATAATAAGTTAAGTATAAAAATTATGATTTGAAAAATCAATAAATGCAAATTCAGAATCAACAAAATTATACAAATTCATATCTAAGCGTTTTTACTATTATTATACACAATCTTTACGTTGAAGATATCAAGTTTTTATTTTTTCCAATTGAGCATCAACTCATTGATTTCTACAAATGTTATGAAAAACAATAGACAACATGATTGCAAGAAATATTGCAAATAATCTATCCAAACAATCTTTAAATTTAACATTTATTTTTCTTAGAATTATTTTTCATGATTAGATGGCAAGTTTCTTTTTTCCTATTTGTCATCTAGTTTGTATAATAAAATATTTGAAAAATAATCAACCATTTAATTGTAGCAAACAACATACAAAGTTTAATTATTTGTTATTTGAAAAATCAAGAACAAAAACTATTAAACTAATATATAAGATAGAGATAAACACGATGAAAGTATAATAGTTATTTTAATTCATTCATTCTTGACTGAAGTAACTGGATTCAATTTCTTTCAAATATTTATTTTGAAACTGCATCCAATAATACACATTGACATTTCACTATGAACATACATCATTCCTCCAAATGCATCAAATATTTCAATATAAGTGTTTGAATTTTCACTATTTAAATCCATCATCAGCATAGAGTATGATATATTAAAATTTGCTTCATACATACATATGAACATACAAATCACAAATAAAAAAGTACAAGATCTCAAGATTATCTTTGAAATTGAAATGTGCAAAAAATGATCTAAATTCCTAGTTTTGTAGCTTTCAATTTAGTCATCTCAAAAGTTGACTTCGTCCAACAGTGGCTCAGACACGCTCTTTAGGAAGCTCAAAATGATGTGATATCACTGCGGATGACAGGATGTCAAAAGCATATAGTGACATCCTTACCATAGCAGCTCTTTGTCATGTGTATAGGTATTGTCTATAATTAGCATCAAATCAGAGGTAACTCTAGTTGAGTTAATCCTAGGTAGAGCTTAAATCAAATCGCTCCCATTGAAGATTATAATTGCACGTACTCAAAAAATTGTAAGTTTTTTGAGTTGAAACTTTTGCGAAGGGAGTAGCTTTCAGTAGGTTGATTATGATGTTCAGCTAGTTTCGACACGTAGTTTCTGAGATGTGACTGGGTTTGGCTTGATTTGATGTGAATCAGTGTGTTTAAAAAACATTGGATTTTGCATAGATATTTTTAGTTGTAATACATTGATGCACGTGTAAGCTCTCATTTACTATATATATACATGTGTGAGTATGACATATCAACGATATAGGTTGTACTACGATACATTTTTGCACTAAAACTCTTACATATATGATACCCAAAATTTTTATCTCAAAACACCTGAAATATCAAAATTAGAATAAACCAAATTTTGTGATTGAAAGAGAAATTTCATAGAATGATGATATTTGATTGCATAATGATGAAAGCCTTGCAAATCTTATCTAAAAACATGTGCATCAATAGTTAGATTCATTAAGTGTTACTATAAGAACTATTCCCCATTAGCTTAATTTACTTACTTGGAAATCCCATGAAGCTATTTTTTGTGAATTACATTTTACATTTTTAGTTAGCTATATTAAGTGATACTAATAAGGCTAGTACACTTTTCTTTGGATGTCCCATGAAGCTATGATGTGTGTATAGCATTTGACATGATTAGTTAGCTATATCAAATGATACAAATAGGGCTAGTCCCCATTAGCTTAGTTACTTTTTACGTTATTAATAAGATATATTAAGTGATACTAATAGGATTAGTTCCATAAAATTAGTTATTTTTTAATGAGTTTTCTTTCTAGAAATAATTACCTGAATATTTAAATATATTAAGTGATAATAAAAGGGTTGATACCCATAAAATAAGTAAATTGGATACGTTTTCTTTGTATAATGTTAAACATTGATAGTTAGATATATAAGGTGATACTAATAAGGCTAGTTCACTTTAGGTTATTTTTTTGGGATGCCCCATGAAGTCATGTTATGTGTATAACTTTTTACGTTAAGAATTAGATATGTTAAGTGATATTTATAGAGCTAGTACCGACAAGAATAATTACTTTGTAGCATAATGTTTTACATGAATAAATAGATGTATTAAATGAAACTAATAGTACTACTCCCCGTCATTTTATTCTTTGTAAGGCTCGGTCGCCGAGTTTAGCCATCTCTTTGGATGTCCCGATAGCTATTATGTTTATAGGTCGTTTTACATCAATAGTTAGATATCCTAAGTAATATTACTAAGCCTAGTCCGCGTTGCATTTTATTTTTCTTTGCAAAGCTCGATGTTGTGATCTGGGTACCGAGAACCGAGGCATAAATTAATACTCGACACGAAGTGATAGTGCCGGGGAAGCAAGAGGGTAGAAATAGAAGAAATAAATAATGCTCAGGGAGTGACCGAAGGCCATCCGTCACACGAGGAGGAATTGAGAATCGGGTCGTGGGCATCGGGATCGGCGGGCTCGATCAGAAAGAGCGAGCGAGCGATAGATCGCGGGGTGGAGTGGAGATGGCGCGACCGACAGTCGTCGTCTAGATTCTGTTGTCGTCTCGTCACTTTTTTCGAGGTCGAGGAAAGTTGTTGCTTTTTGGCAGCCGGAGGTGGGAAAGAATTTTTGTCGCTCCTTTTTCTCGGAGGGTCGAAGGTCGCTGTTCTTCTTCGGCAGTCTTTGGAGGTAGGAAGCATAATTTCAGCTAGCGGGCGTGTTTTGATCCGGGTGGATGTGCTGGAATTCGAGAAACCTCCACGCTCGCTGTAGGGTCTGCCGCTGTCGCTGTCGCTGCTGGAAGGAATTTGTGCGTATGTGAAATCAGAGTTCCGAGTTGTGGATCTTCGTCGAAATGCTTCAATGAATTCTGTTCCTCGGTGATGATGAGCGCGAGCGCGAGCGCTGGAGTCGGAACGGGGCCCGCCTTTTGCGTCGTCCTGACGCAAGACTCGCTGTAGGGTTTACTGCTTTCGTTTCGCTAGTGTGGATAGTGGAGGAATTCGGCACGAGCCTTGCGTACTTGTTTCTGGGCTGTAACTGCACTCGCCAGTACTTTTCTTTGCAGCTTGCTTTTTTCTGACTTGGTCACGTCGACTCGGTTTTCTTGAAAGACAAGTTTCAGTTTGGTTGTAGAATTATAGTTTTACGGAAGAAATCGAATTGGACTTTGCGTTCGAGGTCCGGCGATCAGGTCAGATCTCTCTGCCACTCAAGGGATCAGCGCTGGATGTGAAGGACTTTAGTGACCGGGTGGAAGATCGGGTGCGTTTAACTCAACATCGATTGAAGAATTGGAAGCAAGAGGTGGACCTATTCGTACTTCTGATGTAGTTGGGAGTAGAGGGAAAGATAGACGAGGGTAAACTAGGGCAGTCGTGGCAGAAGAATAGGTTCAAGGCCTGGATTTATGTGAACACCGATTTGGAATTGAATGAAAGTTGTCGCTCTCTATTTGGCCATGGATACCGTGATCGGTTTTATGAATCGCGAGCATTGCGAGCAGTTGCCGAACAGGGATTAAACTGAACTGAAGAGGACAGGAGGTGTAGACAAGAATTTGCAGTTTAGAAGAAGGCAGGGAAACCCTAGGGCAAAGCGAAGAACACGGGCTGAACGAGAAGGGGAGGTTTAAGAAGAGAATGAATGGTAGAAACAGGGAAGGATGTGGAGTCTCACGCAACTTGTGAACTCCTTGCTCGGCCCGCAATCTGAAGCCCAGAAAGCGGCATCCGTAGAGGAGCGATACTTCGAAGGGGAGCAGCGGGCCATGCCAGTTACACAGTCAGGGTCCTCGCACGTCGTGAGGAGCAGTTCTGCCAATTCTGGATCGCTGAATTTAGATTCTGAGCGTGCCGTGCAGAAACTCAGGGGCTACTTCACCCTAGCGAAAGAGGAGATTGATAAGGGCGTCCGCTCTGAGGAGTGGGGTCTCAATGCCGATGCTCTTGCTCATTACAAGAATGCTAATCGTATTTTGATCGAGGGAATGGGCGCGGACGTGAACGTTGATCCTGAAAGGTAAGAAACGGGAATTCACTTTCCCCTATCTGTGCTTGTGAGCGAGTAATTTCCCCTGAAAAGTCCCAATTCTCCTAAACACGGTGGCCGCTGCGCCTCAGCGCCAACCTTCAGTACGATGGATATATTAATATTCATGTCCTGGTGCACTAAGAAGTTCCAGAATGCGCTTTTCGTCTCCATGTATGCCGTCGAGGAGTACGCCCTTTTTCTAAACGTTGCTACATTTGACGGGGTTCTTGTCAGATTTGTATACCATTGTTCTTCTTGCCTTTGCCACTATCTGCTTTGATTTCACAAAACCACAATATCTGAGGTGAGACTGTGATGGCCTTTATCCATCAGGCCTTTTCTTGCCCCATCAACAGCACCTATCTACTTACCCAGCTTCCTTCCCGCATGGACGTGCCGAACATTCGTAAGCCATCGGTTGTGATGGAATACACCTCTCCGTTTACAGTATCTTCGCACGGGCAGCTTTGAAGTATTCTTAGCGAAATTACGGTGAACGTTATCAGAGGACTATAGGACGAATATCCCTTCCGTATAAACTTTGTTTTGATTTTTCCATACTACAGGATGAGGATAGAGTTGAGGAAGTTTATCATCTTCTAACAAGCAGTACTTCGTTACGACTGGTATCAGTGATGCTTGGCACGCCCACGTTTAATAGGCGGCCCGCGACAGATTAAACATTCTCATTCAGGAACGGAAGAAGCATATAACCAGCTGCCATTATGTTGAGGGTTAGACCCTAAGCGCATTGGTCTTTACTTGCTAGATAAGGATTGGAAATAAGTCAAGCCTATTGTTCCTCTTTGTCTCCAGGATGTTGCGTCTGATTTCCTATTTTCTATCCCTACCCGTGGGTAGAGAGTTAACCCTACGCAGTTAAATAAGTCAACCCTAATTCTGACAATGAAAGGAGCAATGAATGGCTTCATGGGCCCAAACTAACATCAATTATCTAAATAAGTACTAAATGCAGTCTTGTTTGAAGTACTATCCTGCTTACATTTCTTCAACGCTTACGACGTCTTGCAGAATATGTACTTTTCCCTTACTTAAAACCTGGTTGTCCTGCGTATCTGCAGCAAATTGTACGGAAGCATTAAAACCTACCGGGAAAAGATGCGGAAATGGCAGGATAAAGTTCTTGAAAGGTTACGAGTGCTTGATCATCGATCAGGATCATCAGGTACATTCTGTCAAGTAAGCCACTTACAACAGCCATTCCCTTACCCAATGTTGTTGTGTGAGGTTAGATTCTTGAAAAAGTTTTTCCTTCTTTGTACCAAAAGATGTTGCGGCGGGTTCGACCCATCGTAGAATGTTTGTTGATACTTTTTTCTGTTTGTAAAGAAATAGAGATGCAGCAGGAACTCATTTGGCGTCCTATTCACTTGTTTAGGAAGCCAGCAAGGTTTGTAGATCTGAGTCAGTTCCAGGTTGAGAAGTGCAGTTGTTGTGAATCGAGATTTTTCTGTGCAAGAACAGGACTTCTTTGTAACACTTTATTCTGGGTTTTGTTGACATTTTGGGATGCAGTGGCAGGAGGAACTTCTCACAGTCAGGTACATTGCTAGAGCTAGACCTCATTAGAACGTAGCGAATATCCGTCGCACTTTCCTCTCGTGAAGTTCGCGTGTAGCTTAATTGACTGAAAACGGAGTCGAGATTGTATCATCATACGCATGGTGAAAACTACTTGTACTGATTGAACCTGTTGTTACAGAAGCCTATATCTGTTCCTAAGACGAGGGCCCCGCCTCTTGCGAGATCGAACCCTGGTACTCCCGTATCTCCAGCAAATACTCGGCCTTCGAATCGCTCGCGATCCCAGCCGAATTCGGCAAGCGCAAGCGTTCAGCCATTAAATCTGAAAGGTGTCGACCCGAAACTGATCGAGGCGATTGAGAACGAAGTTTTGGACAGAAGTCCTGCGGTAAAGTGGAATGACATTGGTGAGGTCTTGGACTCGATTGTGTCGAGGGATTTCGTTCTTTTTTCTGTGGGGATGCAAATGTGCTTTTTTCCAGCTAGGCTTGCCTTGTTCTGAATGGAAGGGCTTTTTGTCCTCAAACTTGCAGCTGGTCTTGCGAAGGCGAAGTTGGCGTTGATGGAAATGGTGATCTTACCCACTATACGAAAGGATCTTTTTCAGGGCCTTCGCAAGCCTGCTCGGGGTACGTATCTACATCCCTGAATCACGTAGTACCTTTTATATTTGGGAGTTCGAGGAAACTCTTAAGTTTACATTTCACAGGACTAGGTAACTACCTCGAGTATTTGCAAAGTTGTGTCCCGTGCGGTTGTGTGATTTCAGTAAAAGCTGGGTATGTACCTGCAAAATGCCCTTTTACTTCACAACTGGATTCTCCCATATGCCTCAATTGCGTGGTTTAGATGTGCTGGAGAACACTCCAGTGCTTTTACCCGAGGCCTCTGGATCCTTATACTAAAAGCGTCCTGATTATGTGAATACAGTACTTGCTTTTATGCAAAGACGTAAACACGAATCTGTAACTCTTATAAAGGAACGTGCTCCTGGTTATTGACATGCTGATTGTTGTTCATGTTGCTGTGTCTTCTTGCAGGACTCCTTCTATTTGGTCCTCCAGGGAATGGAAAGACCATGCTTGCCAAAGCTGTAGCTTCAGAGTCCGCAGCAACCTTTTTTAGTATCAGTGCCTCCTCTTTAACTTCCAAATGGGTCAGTGAAGCTCTTCCAATGGCCCGCTCTTAGACTCTTCGTCTCATATGAGTGTCTCTGTCTTATCCCCTCCAATTCGCCGTTTATGATTGTGTGTCGTAGTTGTTCATGGTTTGGTTAAGTGTTCTAATTTGGCGAATCTCAGCATTAAACAAGATTCAGCCCTGTGACGTGGTTTTTTACTCGTTTTGTCTCCAGGTTGGTGAGGGAGAAAGATTGGTCAAAGCTCTTTTTGCTGTCGCAGCTGCAAGACAGCCCTCAGTAATCTTTGTCGATGAGGTACTTCATCTCTGCGCCCTTAAGCTTTGGCTATGAAGTTGTGATGTTACTGTCGGTTCAAGAGGAACTTACAACTCTCCTGGCTGTTAACAGCCCCAGAGTTAGTTCCGAATTCCTGTATTGTCGTGGTCGTGGACATGGGTTCCCTATTTGAACAGAATGTTCGCGAATGACGCTGTAGTTTTAGTCCCTGGTCTTTTTGTTTACGTGGACAACGGTATTTGTTCTATAGTGTTCTAATGTACTCAAACGTACTGTCTAAACTGTTCACTGAGTTTGTTAAGGACGTACCAGATGTTGTTCTTCTGGAAGTTAGAGTCTGAGATTGTGTTTAGGCTTATTTTTACAACTCCTGAATTCCTCGTATTTGTTTGCGTTGTTGTACATGCGTATCGCTTATGTCAGTGTACGAATCAAATTATTTTATCTTAGTCGTCAAGATCAGCCAAGTCGACTGTCCGGGACGACTCTTCTTCTATTTTCACATACTTGCGACAAGATCCTCGTACTGATGATAACTGAATGCTGTGTGGAGTAGATTGACAGCATCATGTCGTCAAGATCAGCTAACGAACATGAGGCAAGTAGGAGGCTCAAGACAGAGTTCTTGTTGCAGTTCGATGGAGTTATTTCTAACGAAAGTGACCACGTCATTGTAATGGGTGAGTTGTAAAAGTCTGCCTACACTACTTCACTGCAGAATATGAAAACTTGATCGATGAAGCGTGTGAAGGTTATTTCATGGTGATAAAAGCATTTATGTTTTGCTAGAGAGGTTCTTCGTATATATTGCAATAGAAAGAATGTAGGCGGTGTCGTCACTGTCGGTAATCTAAAAGCACAGGTAATTGATTGCAGCTGCCACTAATCGGCCTGAAGAGCTTGACGACGCAGTCCGGAGGCGGCTGGTATAACTCCTCCTTTGCTTGTGTTGTAAGAAAGTGTAGTAACTAGAATAGCAGTGCTTCATCTTTGTGGGATCTTTGTTGAAGAGAATAGTAGATTTGATTCGTTCTACAACGTATTGTTAAAGAATTCCTCGATAGCTACGGTCTCTCCTTAGTTGACTTGTAGACTTAGATGTTGGAAGCAAAGGAGACCGATTTCCCATGAAACGCTACCAAGGATGGGAAGAGGATTTTTATGTGTCAGTCTCGGTTGCAATATTGTAGAACTTGTTTAAGACGCGGTGAGACTCAACACCAGAAGTTGAGGAGATTTCAGGTTTACTAAGTCTGGTAGGAGTTTCATCTGTGCAGGTTAAACGAATATACATCCCACTACCAGATGCTGATGGACGAAGGTCATTGCTTCAGAATCTCTTGAGGGGCCACACGTCCTTTCCGCTCGATGGTAGGCTCTTCATAAGCTGCCTTCAGCAGTTTGAGGCCCAGATAGGCTCTTGAGGTTGTTTCGTGGTCAGAGTAGATCGTGAAGCACGATACAAGGATTGTACTTAGATTTACGTCATTTTTCTTCTCATTGGGTGTTCGAAGAATTGATTCATTTCTCGAGTTTCTTGAAAGTGTCAAAGGAGTTGAGGGACTCGCCCGATAAATAGAAGTTCGTCTTTTACTTGTGTTTTTCTTTCGCTGAATGTACATTGGTGTCAATCTGTGCCAGGATCTGAGTTGGAAAGACTTGTGAAGGATACTGATGGTAAGTCTATCTATCTATCTATCGGTGGTCTTTTAATAACTGCCGCTTTTATGGAAGAGAACATGGGGATCTACTTTAATTTACGGTGACTTTATGACCTATTGAAATACATGATAAATTAAAAGAAAATTAGTGATTCAATCGGTACCAAGCAAGTACCGATTTTGATCTTTAAGGTAATTGGTAAGTTAAGTCTACTTTAATTCGCGGTGAGTTTTAAATGAAGTTTAATTTAAGTTAAGTTTACTTTAATTTACGGTCAAATAAAGTACATGATACTGCACATCAAAGAGTATTATTCAAGACTTACCATTTAGTTACAGATTAAGACACTGAAGGTAATTGGTAAGTTAAGTCTATTTTAATTTATTATGACTTTATGATCTGAGAGCTCTTTGTCGTGTCTTGGACTTGCTTTGATCTTCTATTTCGACATGTGCAGGATATTCTGGCAGTGACCTCCATGCTCTGTGTCAAGAAGCTGCGATGATGCCTCTTCGTGAACTGGGCTCTCGTGTCAGCACCATCAGACCTGATCAAGTGAGTAGGCTAACTTTCGACTCGTGACGTTGTGGGAATTTAATATCGAGCTTTGAAGACATGGCTTTGCAGATATCGAACGATTGTTTAGTTCGAACGAGGGATGAACTGTACGCAACTTTTAGAGGGAGGGGCAGAGTGTGTTGTCTTCATTTTAAGCCTTTGCCCAATGAACTAGGAGCTAAGACTCGGCTTGTCTGCTCATTTCCGGCGCAATGCAGGTGCGGGCTTTGACTCACAGGGATTTCAAGGAAGCTCTGAAAGCCATCCGACAAAGTGTAACAAGAGATCAACTCAAACATTACGTGGAGTTCAATTCAGAGTTTGGGTCTCTGAGTTGAAGTTGGAAACACTGAAATAGTATTTGGGAAATAGGAAAAGTAGAGTCTAGGAACGTGAGGTCTAACGATTGTGACAGGGAAGTCACAATGTTGCCTATTTATATTACATTCGATGTACATACGAGTTGAAGCACTGTCATTAGATTGCCTGAAGACGTTTTCGAATCTTGTGAGTGATATGTGAGGTATTCTTTGCCGCGACCTTCGTATCAGGCCGGCTTCTGTCTGGCTATAAACATACGCAGAAAGATTAGCACCCCCATATATTAGAGGCAAGTTCACATCGACCCGACATACAAAATAGAGCACTAGAAGGTTCTAAACTAGAATTTGGAAACTCCACATAAAAGCTGTACATAATGGTCATCGGATTGATTGTGTAATTGAGAATCATCATCGCTTTACATCCCTGTCTATTCATTATCGGGATGAGTGGATGCTTCATTCATAAACCGAAGATATGAGACTTGCGATAGCTCACCGCGGCGCAACAATGCTTGAGACATCATTTCTTCACCATTTCACATCCGCACACCTGAGCCAGATAATTATGTTGACGCAAAGTGGATATCTCCCATTACCCTTACTGACCACACCCATGACACACAAACACATGATTACCAGCATAAGACATTCTAGAGGTCAAGACGTGAGTAGCAAAGGGCAACTCGAGGCCTCAAGTTGGCATTTCTGATTACTGAGCGTGCTGTTAACCTCGTTATCGTCCGCTACGAAGTGTCTGCAAATGATTGGTTCTGCCGCTTGTCCTGATTCGCATCAAAACAGTCTCCGTACATGGAACACCTGTCTACCATAACGTTGGCGATATGGAGCCCATGCCGAAAATGACGTAAATGTGTATCTAGACAGTCTCAAGCGAGGAATATCAATCGAGTGCGTAATTTGGAAAACTAGTGGTCGTACATGAATGACACTACAGTCTCAAGCGAGGAATATCAATCGAGTGCGTAATTTGCAAAACTAGTGGTCGTACATGAATGACACTACAGTCTCAAGCGAGGAATATCAATCGAGTGCGAAATTTGCAAAACTAGTGGTCGTACATGAATGACACTACGAGACGAGAAATTGTTTGTGCAGGTCTCAATGGTTCAGGCAACGTACTGTCGGGGAGATCGAAATTCGTTCAGCCAGGTTGATGGTCCTCTCGTACGAGATAGCAACCGCTTGCTCCCACTTGTCGATCAAACCCATTTCCACAATCAGACATGCGCCGAATGAAACCAGAGTCTAGGAAAGGCTGCCGTGTGCAGAAGGTGACTTCTTTTCACTGCGTCTCACCTATCAACAAGCCCTGTAGCCATACCATATTGGTGGGCGTGGTGGGGCATACAGGTCGGGTGTCTGATTACCCTGGACACCCAGAGACAGGTTACTGGTTGCCGAGCAATTGTGTACACCATGTCGACTTCATCTCATGTCTTTGGGAAGCATCTCTGTTCTCGTATGTACAAGTGGCCGGCCGTCTTTACCTTCGGACCAGCAAGTGGGTCCAGAGCATACGATGTCGACGACTTCCGTTAGTATAATGTACTGTAGAGATGACTATTGACATTCGAGGCAAGCAGGTAAGGGGATTGTGTGACAGAGTTGTGATAAAGGAAAGTAAAGATAAAATCACGGAAGCACGTGTCTGCAGTAGCAATACCCACTAGAGTCCTTACTGTACCGTACTTCCAGGTGAAGACTAAAGACTGAAGACGGAAGGCAATAAACGCATGAAGAATGTAAGAGAATGTGGAGGAACTGGAACAGCGTCGGAGACTTGGAATTTGTCAAGGCTAGAAGCCCAAGGAAGCAAATGTAATGAGCTCTTATCTTGATCTTGTCTTGTTCACCGAGGGATACCATGTCATACTTGTTCGTCGAGTATGACATGACATTGTACTCCTAGTTATACTCCTGCAGCTGCTGCCGCTGCCGTCAAGGTGCTACCATATCCTATTCATTCACGTCTTAGAGGTCGAAATAATAAATTGGAAATACTGAGAACCAGATCAGACACTGAATGATATTTGTCTGACGTCAGTGATATTTATCAAGTAGACAGGCTGCCCGTAGGCTTTCATGGCGAGGATCTGAGGTTTTAAACAGGATTTCATGCAAGACTCTACTGTCTTTGGGTAGCACAGAAATCGATCTTGTGACAGTTTGGGTCCACTTTCGCAGAGAAAGATCTGTAGAGGAGAGTATGAACTAATAATTTAGCTCGATCATTGGCCATGGAACCTGCACGCTTGGGATGTGGGATAAAAGATCTTGACCTGTAGAGACAAGAGGACATTTACCTTGTCAGATGAACGTGAAGTAAATTAAAGTCCGGGACTGGGATGGGAGAGTGGAGTGTGGAATAGCAGAGAAGGTACTATTCGAGCAACTCCCACTCCACCAACTTCAAGAAGGGGGTCGACCAGCATACGACAGGCGAACTATTCGAGCCAACTCAAGTCTGTATGATGAGGTCCATGAGTGGCCATACCGCAGCTCGACACGAGACACGAATCTTGCTATCCTGGCCATGTGGAGCATATCGGCAAGTCGCCGTGATAGAAACATGAGCAAGGGAAGAAAACTTCAACACTGACAAAGCTCCTTTTTTGAAAAGGCCTTAATGGTGATGTTGTTACTTAAGGACCAGATGATGCCTTCCAACAACTAGAGAAGCAGTAGGTTTTACGCAAGGGAGGAACTCCGAGGCATGTCAAGCACAATAAAGCACTTTTCGCAAATAGCGCCATGTTTTAAGTTCAACAAATTCTGCTTTAAAAGAGCTGGTCGAGGATCAAGTTTTGTCTCTTTTCTTGTTCTCAAGCTGCAGAATACTTTACCTGTGGTTTGGGGATGGTGGTGGGGGTGGACAATCGAAAGCGCTGAGAGTGCAAATGCAGTACGCTGGTCACCAAATAAAATGTCTCTCATAAACAAATATCAGAAACTCGAGTGGAAGCCAGAAGTGACGGCCCATAGGTGGATGGCGTACGTTGGTATCTGCTGCTGATGATGGCTGTAATTTCCATGTCTCTACAGCAACTCGCCCTGGTCTCTCTGACTGTGATCGCGCGTGGACCTGTACGATTGCATGTCTTCTTAGTCGAGAGAATCGCAGCATATCACGTAGCACATGGCGCTGGGGAACGATGTTTCTGTAGGACACGTATGGCCGTTTTAGACAACAACGAATCAATTGTTCTCTATCCCTCCTTGTAAACAGTCAACCACATACATATAGACCAACACTCCCCATAGACGGACCGACATTCATATATTTAGGACAGCTTCCAGGAGCTCAACCCAGACCAGTTCCCCTCTTCCCAGCATACAGACTCCGGATCTGCATGCTACTTTCAATTTTAGTAAGTCTTTCAATAGCATGTACGTAGTAACCAGATCCTATTGAAAAAGGAGCAACTGAACATCGTCCGGGACTTACAATTCACGAACACACACACACGAGAGAGAGAGAGAGAGAGAGGAACACACACACACGAGTGAGAGAGAGAAAGAGAGAGAGAGATGGCGATGACAGGAATGGATGGCTCGAGAATTAAAAATTTTGTTGAGAGCGACAGAACCTTCAATGCCTACGTTGACACGAAGTTTAACGCACTGGACACCGACCATGACGGCTCACTTACTCAGAGCGAGCTAAAGCCTATGGTTCAGAGTCTTGGCGATGCACTTGGATTGCCCCCGATAGGATCGTCTGCTGAGACGGACCACATTTACCAGGAGGTCTGATACGTTCCCTGTCAAGTGGACATCATCATCTTCATCATCATCATCGTAGTGCCTATTGTAATATTTTGTAAGTCGGTGGCTGGAAGTGGCATGGTTGGAGCTAACTCGTGAGCTTCTTCTCATGCACATGTGTATCTGATCTTTCTAGAAGGTTGAAAGGCTAGAAGCATATTGCAACTTCCACTACATCGACGGTGCAACAAAACAAGAAAAGATTGAGAAAGAAATGATGGACTGACCTGTTGCTGGAGAGATTGTGTGCTGGACATCATGACTATTCATCTTGTGAAGTGACCTGATGCATGCATACGAATTTAACAATGTCAGATAGATCATAAGAGAGAGGTTCTCGCACAGTTGATTCTAGATTTCCTTCTCCTTTTGAAACAAACGGGAGCGAAACCACCGACAGCTGATTCTAGCTTTCCTTCTCCTTTTGAAACAAACGGGAGCGAAACCACCGACAGCGTTCTTAGGAACATGTTTAATAGAAAAGTACAAAACCTGCGTACTCAAAACTCATCTCGGCATTTCCAGCCTTTTCTGTTGCTGGCTAGTATCGGGTTCAATGCTTTAGTCATTGACATCATTTTAATCAGCGCTGGATGCCTTGTTTGCGTACAGGTCTTTTCAGAATTTAGCAAAGGAGCGGCTGTGAGCAAGGATGTCTTCGGGAGGGTGTTGAAGGACATCTTGCTGGGTTTAGCGGATGGGCTGGAAAGAGATCCAATTTCTGTCATCCAGTTTGATGGCACAAGGTTGCGGGAGTATGCTAGTTCACCACAATACGAGGTTGAGGCACTATCGGTGTTCACTCGACTTGATGTCAAGCAGGATGGACGATTGCCAGCTAGCCGCTTGCTTGACGCATTACCTTCAATATCCGTCATCAAAGGCATGCCGCCGGCTGATGATCCCAAGGTACCGCTAAACAACAAACAACCCACAAAAGTTAGATTGTGTTCTGTGCTGTCTGTGAATCTGCGTTCGGACAAATCTAAACATTGAACGTGGAGCCTCCCTTCTTCGAGAGCTTGCTATTCATGTCTGGATAAGCGAAAACTTTTGCGCATGCAAACAAGGAGAGAGTTCTCAATATACGGTCAAATTTAGAGACGAGGAGAGTTTGACTGAGTGAATGCTATGCTCATCATTCAGTCTTGGCCACTGTGATGGTGCTCATGAAAGTTTGGTCTTGGATACATTCTTGAAGCTTCGTTCCGTTTGTTTTTCGAATGGCCGATTAAAATGAAATGAAACAATGAAAATCAAGAATGGCTGGTTCAGTCTGGTAGCAAACTATAAGTGATGATAGAACAAATTACGTTTTGACATCGAGCAGGACGCAATTATCTCCTCCCATTTTCTTTTAAGCTACTCATTATGAAGTTGTTTGTACAGATCTTAGCGCCCTTTGTGCGTAATTGTACTCTTTATCTGATCTATTCAAAGCTTCGTACAGCCTTAATCTACAAACCTACGGTTACAATAGACGTATCTGTGGGATTATGGATTCGAAAACAGAAGAATAGCATCACTGCCATTGAAATGTTAAGTGGAAGCAGAAGTTGCTGTAACTTGTTAAGAATTGCACTGAACAGTGCTGATTCTCGGTCCAATGCATCCAGATAAGGGGGTTGGTACATTATGCACTCCGAGCAGCTCGAGTGGATTCCCGGAAGAATTTGGATCAAATGCAGTTTGTGGACACTCTTCGAAAGTTCCTTCTGAGCATGGCTGATGGGCTGAAAACACATCCCATGAAAGTAGCACACAGCGAGAAGCTGTATGACGGGGAGAGCATCAAAAAGCTACTAAAAAATGAAGAAGAGTTGCGCAAGGTAAATATAGACTGATCACAGCAATGGATGCTCGGGTAAACCTTCTGTTTGGAAACTTCATGACAATCCAGGCAGTTCAAAGAATTTTATCTGATTCTCGTACTTCCCATGCTGTTGAATGGCTCGTTTCTAGGCTTTGGATGAGACTTGGAGGCGAATGCCCAAAGACAACCGTTATAAGGCTTCAAAAGATTACTTGCGTATTGGTGTCGATGAAATGGGACCAGCGGCCGGACTGCCTCCTGTTGGTTCTGTGGAAGAGGTACGAAATATTAGATTCTAAATTATGTCCTTCGACCATCCGTGTTTCAAGACCTTTTTGATCCAATTCACCTTTTGTGCATCAATTACAGCAAGTACATTCATTAGCTTAATTTACTGAAAATTGAAACATTATCTAATTCAAAAGAAATTTACTTACCTGGAGTAGCATCCATGCAGGCGAGCTTTGAACTTCTTGCAATTTAGATCGAGATGTAGTTTTCTGTGTGTTTGAACATAACCCCATTGAACATATCTGATGGATTCATGGACTATACTGTGGACAGGTCGATGATGTGCTACAACAAATATTTGAAAAATTCAACTTGGACGACGGGGAGAGTATTAGTCAAGAAGATTTTGAGAAGTGTATGATGGAAGTTTTAGGAAGTTTAATGCTCCAACTAGAAGGGAAGCCGATTTCTATCAAATCCAGCAAGATTGTAGATGAGTAGCTTCAGGATAAACTTCAACTTTAGTGGTATCACGGACGATGAATTGCCAAGCTCAGATGAGCTCATGTGTATAAGTTCTGCTAACGACAAACTCGTAAGTTACAATAATCAATTTTACTTCACATTGCATTGCATGGAACCATATTCAAGCTCACATGTGTTGATTAATTTCTGCTATATATCAACCACACTACTTCTCTTATCCCTTAACATTTATTTGACTGGTCGGGGTATTGTGATCACTCCACACGATTTGAGATGAAGTGGAACCTTGACGAGTCACCTGATGAAGGAAGAGTTTTTAGAGGTCAAAAGAATGAGATCACAATATACATTATGCCCGATACTGTACTTGAAAAAATTGGTGTCTTGTCAGTGAGAACGCTCAAAAGTCTGGCAGTGAGAAAGAACTATTGCAAGTCAATGTTAGGAAAATATCTAAAGGGGAAAAGATGCTTTTGTTTGATCAACTTTTCAAAGATTTTTTCAATAATTGGAAGGATCAGCTTCTTTTTCAAGAGAATAGAAGGGTACAACTGGCGAGTCAAAGAGTAGTCGAACTTATCATTAATTCTACATCGAGAAAATTTGTCATCGTAAGTATGCATGGTATGTACACAGGACTTTCTGTTTGTATTGGTAAATGCTTTGTTTTTTTGCAAAATTGGAGATGGAAGAATGGGAGAAACAAGAGAAGACAAGAGTTTGCAATGCTGGTGCAGACTTCTGCATTTCATCATTTCTTCACACATGTTCATCACTCCTAGTCTCAGTAGGGAATGATAACTGGTATGATGTAGATCTTTACAGAATTGTAAATTTATGAAAGACTTAGCCACCAGTTCGTTTTCACTTTCTGGATCGAAACTCTGTCCTCTGTTGTAGCTAATATTCGGCATATAAGGACGTTGTACCCGAGCCAGGTTTCAACCGTATACAGTATCATCGGCTTCATCATCAGAACTACCTACTAAGATAGTCCCCAGGGACTTTTTCAGCATTTGAAAGGATCTCTCTTCCTGCGTCGAACGGGACCCACAAACTCAAATATTGTCCAAGAACCACGGATACGTTGTAACAAAGCAGATTTTGAGGTCAATCAAGTATAGGCAAACGATAAATTGGTACTGAATCAAATTTATAATCTATATAAATTGGTACTGAAGGCGAGAAACTGACCTGCTTCATTTTTTTAATCGATTGTTCCGCTTGATCGAATTTTTGTGTGCAGATCTGCTGTAGATTAGCATAAGCGCCTTTCTCCTTCTTTCCTGCAGCAAGAGAATTTTTTCAGGTCTGTGAAGGCTTATGATTTAGAAAGGTAGAGCACCGTGAGAGGAGTGCATCTATCTGAATGAAATCAAAGTGCACGTATATTTATTGTAGCCATTAGGCTGATTATATTTATCCGGTATGAATTCTCCACTTGAATCAACACACCGTATCTTTGATAAAGGAACCTCTATCCTCAAGTTTCCATCGTGAAGCATAATTGCTTATATCATCCAATTGTGGTCAGGTAGGAGAGACAACTCACGTAGTTGATCAAATTTACTCAGAAGCTGTTCTTTACAATCTTCGAATTTTGCAAAGATGTCTACAACACAGGCAAAAAAAAACTTCAGTCGCTGACGAACTGATAGTGCGATTCAAGTAGCATGTAGATTTGGGACCATGTTCTTTAGATGAAGGAGACTGCGGGAATGCAACAAAAACTGTTTAATGAAACAAAATCTTCAATGCTGGGCCTTACAATAGCTATCTCGTCAGATATCCGAAGTTCAAGCCAAGGTCACTTCAACAATATGTGAGCCGAGTTATTTGCTTGCAAATCCTGAAATAGTACGTACTAGTAAATTGGAACTCAAATTGCAGGGAAGAATACCTTCGTAAGCTTGTAAATGTGAGTCTTTTGCCTCACAGAAAGCTGCATACGCTGCCTTATACTTGGTAGCTTCAGCTTTCAAGGCTGCATCATACTGCGTTTCGGCAGCTCACGGTCATAAGTAAAATATTTTCATGGCAAACAATAGGCGAATAAGGGAGTGGAAAGTATGATTTCAATGTCAATTGACCAGGAATAAGAAGCTTTGACTCCCTTAAAAAAATACACATCATCAAAGCTATATCTGTTTCCGGCAGTTATGCCAATGCACCAAAATGGCTGCGAAGTATTTTTACTCAAGTAATTGTGGAGGACTATCTTACAGAGAAGAATGTCAAGGTACTCAGAACTACAACGACATTTGCCAAGCAAGACTCCCAATTGCTCCAACTCTTGAGTAACTTACTTCCTTGCAAAGTTTTGAGGTCTGTTTTGAAAGAGTTTCCCTGTAAGCGGAGCGCAGTAGTAGTTGAAAGTGTCAATATCCAAGCTGTGATTTTACAAGCATGCTTACGTTCGTGGATGATGGAAGCATAGACTTAGTTATTATCCCTAAGACATGATGATGCTATGAGCCAGAAGCTACTCTTTTGCCACTAGTATTATCTTCAAACATACCTAAATGCAATTTAGTTACAGCCCATGCATCATACCTTTCAGTTTCCATGTTTTCCTTCGCTTGCTGTATCATGGACATGATCTCACCTGCGGTACTGCGAAAGCATAAGTAAAATGGTGTAAGCATCTTCGTGTTTTGGAGACGTTGGATTCAGAATTTTTGTTTCACGTAGCTGAATACCATTACTAGATTCTAGCTCTCAATCAGGAAAAATAATCGCGCTCGGTCACCATAATGGTATTAATCGATGAAAGTCTAATAGTTGTAAGAGAATTCGTTTCGGGACCTGTCAAGTAACTCTTCGCTCTTCTTCTGTCCATCTGAAATGGTCCTTTGTTGAACTTGTTGTAGAGCTGCGAGAATGTTATCGATATCACTGCTCCATTCAGGTATTGAGGAAGTCAGAATCATAAGTAATTAGATCATCGTATCAGCAAAAGGATGGTCTATTTCATTGGAACATGAGAACTTCAAATGGTTTAGCTTAATAGATATACAACCTTTGTTATGGCCATGGACACAAGACATGTTACATAAATAAAGCCGATTTTATTGCCTCAAGATCAAGATGACTGGGCCTTTCATTGAAAGTTATGCATTAATTCGATTTTATTACACAAGATTGTGACAACCTTCATTTGTTGATGTAGTTTCTTTAGTGACTGTGGTCCCTAAAGTTATTCTTTTGCACATTTTACCATTCACAACCACCTCAGTTTTTCTTCGTCACTTGTGTTACCTTAAGAAAACCAACCTCACGATTTTACTGACCTCTTGAGTTCTGGATATACTTCAAACTCAGAAATGTCGGCCCGACCTTCCTTTTCGAGACCTGAAGGTATTCCGTGGTTGGCAGATTTTGGATTCAATGCTTCATTGGACCTCTTCCTTGGGCCCGCCATTGTCGATCGAGAGAGAGAGAAAGAGAGAGTCGCACAAGAGAGTCACACAGAAATCAAATCGCGGAGAAAAGACGGCGTAGCGCAAAATGCAGAAGGAGAGTTTGCCAGACGCGGGAAGAGTATTTGAATACAGCCGTTTTGCAACTAGGCCGCCTCCGCGCCATCCACACCACTCCCCGAGGAATGACTAGATGCGCGCCTCCTCACAGTCAGCGATGTCAGCTTATCACGGGTGGCAGTTTATAACGAAGCCAACGCTGCCGAGCCATCCTGGGTTCAGTCTGATCGACGTGAATCAAATGACTAAGTGTCTATCTTGTTGTCAAAGATATAACTTGTTTATGAATCTGCTCTTATCGGTATGAAAATATCTCACGAAGTAGATATTATATTAAGATAACGTAGAGCTTGATCAATTGTTAATTCATATCACATCTAAAGAATCCCCTTCCAACCAATTAATATATGAATAGAAATAAAACGAAAAATTATATCTAATTTTAGAGTGATAGTTTTGAACATGCATGTCACTATGCATCAAGTATATTTTATATTAATATAATTACGAAAAATTGTTTTGAAACAGAATATGTTTGATATATTGATATGGAAACAAAATATGTGCGTACAAAAATAGAATTTATTCTACCTAAATTCATTTTTTGTGACAAGATTAAAGGTTTACAGATATTCTCCTGCTGAAGGAATTAGATTCACATAGTGAACTCTCAGGAATTTTGATTCAAGCTCTATTTCTGAACCGGAGTACTTTATAGATGATTTGTAAATTAATAACACATCTGATTCAAACTAATATAATTAAATGCCGAATACTTGAAAATATATTTACTATGAACAAAATTTGAAATAGTATGGTGCAAATACACATGACAACATATATGATTTTGCATCAAAAATCACAATATACAAATAGTCATATACATACACAAGATTTTGTGTTTACTACTAATTAAAATCTAGGTATCATAGCAAGTTATATCTACTATATTTAAAATTGTGTGATTAGCAAATACTATCAAATGCATCACGAAAGTTATACTTTTGTTGAAAAAGGATAATGTTTTCAATGCAATAAGCATTGTAACACCAAACCTTTAAACTGAGTTTGAACACATTCAAATTCATTATAATTTTAAATTACAAAGATAAGCTATGTTGAATTTTAATCATGTTTCAAATGTAAGAGCATTATAATTCTTAAAGTTTAAAACATTCAAGAATCTGTTCAAATTCATGTTAATTGTAAAACACAAAGATGATTGTGTGTGTCAAATTTTTTTTTCTGATTTCATAAATCTTTAATAAGATAATTTTCACTACATTCAAAAGAATGCAAGCCCTATAATGTTTAGATCAACAATGAGATTCTTGAAATCACGTGTAGAAAATTATATTGCGACATCACAAATTACATGTGATATAAAGGATATGTTCTTTGGAAATAAATATTGAGCTTTATACCTAATCTTTACATATTTTTTACATTATAATAAATCATACATCAATGCAAACTTAATTTTCATATAAAGTATAGTCATACTATGTATCAGATTTTTGTATAACATTATAAGTTTTAATGAATAAAAATATAATTACTTTTTGCGTACATGATGAAAGTATAATTATCACTTATATTCATTATTCACGAATTTATTATTAAATTAATTTAATTTTATTTCACAGATAGATATAAAATAACATATCACACATATGTAACAACTTTGGCATCATACAACAACAAGTTTTAATTGAAACCATAAAGCAATAGCAACATATATATATAGAAGGAAATGTTAAAACGATTTCACAAATTGTTAAAACTACCACATTGAGACCAGAGACGTGTCTTGCGATCACATGACCTTTCAAAACAAATTTTTTTCACACACAAGCTCAAGTATTAGCTGCGAGCGTGTTTTTGGATACTCCTCCTTCATGTGCAAAAAACATAGTCAAAGATGATACTTCCATCAACGCGGCCATTGCCGTGCAACAAAGGATTGACTAGCCTTCTTGCAAGCTCATTATGAAGCCCCTCCCCATCCTCCCAACTTTAAATTTTTATTTTTTTTTGACAGGTGACGTATCTATTGTCATTTTAACATTGCCGTATGTATGTATATGTATGTATGTATGTGTGTATATATATATATATATGATTAAAATGCTAACAATTTACAAATCTTAAATCTTAAATCATAACATACAATCAAGTTGTTTGTAAAATCTTACGCATTTAGGAATATATAAATTCTTTCATTCAAAGATCAAGTTTAACTATAAATGACACACTTAACATACTTGAGTATTCCAAGTATTAATAAAAAAAAGTGGTTAAAAAAAGAAGTAAAAAATAATGATAGTTCACATAAAACATGAGAAATACTCAAATACTTAAGAAATATCCATCAATTTAATGCTATTATTCAACTAAATTTGATATAATTTCAAAAAATCATCTAAAATCACTAAAAATTTATATCACTAGAGATGTCAAATTTGATAATATCCATAAATAAATCTTGAATAATAATAAACAATAAAATATACAAACTATAAATATAATTATTTTATATACAATTTTTTTGAAATAATTACGCTAACGCTTAGGATTTTAAACATGTATTTTGTGATGTCAAATGATTCATTCAATGTCATTTACAACAAATGAATAATTTGTAAGCATGGATACAATTAAAGCTTTCAAACATCAATCTATCTATAGTATCATCTATTTTTATACCAATGACTTGTTAAATGTGAGAAATCTCTTATTTCTTGCATAATGTGAAATTTTTTTAACATATAAATTTAAAGAAACAACTCGACTTCAAATAGTTTGATGTTTCTTTATTCTTTCGAGAGACATTCTTTCTGTGAGATTATTACGCAAGTTTTGTTGTAATATTGACTTGTGAGCGAAAAGTATTCTAAATATAGCATTTTAGAGTTAGGATGGATTTAGTATTATAGATTTAGGTTAGGGTTATGATTTTAAAGTCTCATAATTCAAAACTTTTGTGTGTGATGTTGTCTTTTCCTATTCATGAATCTCACGTTTTCCTTTTCTTTGTACTCTCTTGAGACTTATGCGGACTTTTGATTATAGCCAAAAAAATAACAAAGTTTTTTTTAAACATCATCACTTTTTTAAATTCCGAAATTTTCAATTTCAACATTATACATCCATGATCATCTCATATATAGTTTTGAAATTTTGTTAAATTTTCTATCATCGCAAAAAACTTCATATCATAGAATCACTCCATAAGATTTAAAGATACTATCACTTCTACTTTTGATTTAAGAATGTCGCGACATCAAATTTGTAGAATTAGCGCATTCTTTTGAAATTTGTTTTTATCAAATTCTGCTTTGAGTTACAAAATAATTTAAGCAATGCATTTGTTTTGTATTTTATTAACAGATTTTATTATTGCCTACAATCATTTCATTTAAATTGTAGAACTTAAAATCAAAAAATTAAGCATTAATAGCAATCATATCCAACTTCAAATTGACCATAATGCTAGAATTTTTTTGGAAAACTTGAACTTTTGTAATGACATGAACATTTTGCATCAACTAGATTTATCATTGTATCAAAACTTGTCAAAACATTTGTGTTGCTCCAACAACACAAGTGTGCTTGTTATAAAATACACTTAAATCTGTGCACAATTTTTGAAAATATATTTTAATCATTACTTCTTATTTTCCTTATAAATAAAAAGATTAGGGACCGGCTAGTTATCACTCACTTGGTACTAATTAGCACCCACTCAACTAGAGGCTATTTTCTTATTGGTCGATGCAAGGTTGTATGGTTCATGTGTGAGTAACAATTACTTCTAAAATAGGATCTTTTACCAATTAGAGAATAGGCTGAGTCATAATTAGACCTAAATGAGAGATAACTAGACTTCCCAAACATTAATGTGAAGCTAAACCGATTTCTACTTAAAATAATTCAGGTGTTTGCATTGGTAAATTTTTGAGATAGTTACAAGCTGCAAATCTTTACTTTCGAAACTGAGTATGACGATCACGATCGTTCTTCCGCGATCTCAACTTGAAGTGTCGTTGGGCTTATACTAAAAAATTTTAATGACACAATTGGCTCTGGTTGATGAATCTGCCTTGCATGTGATTGTCAAACTATCAATTTCATTACCACATAGGTCATGACGTGATTGATGGGCTAGCGTATTGACATCAAGTTATTCTATAAAGGTATGTCATATGTTATGTATAACATTTACGGTTATTGCTATGATGTAGATGTACAGTAATCCTATTCTATCTTATGGTATAAACTTTAATTTGGGGTTAGATGTGAACAAAAATGAAAAAGTATTGCTCGAGAGAGAGGATAACTCTTTGTAACGTACTTTCAGATGACATGTGTGACATGGCATCGAACCTCGCCATATACGCAGAGTAGTTACTCGGGAGAAGCTGACGTGTCGTAGGAAAGTGCCCGACGGTAATAAAGGGAAACGGGAGAGATAATGGGGACCGAACTGATTTCGAGAAGCACGCTCTCGGGGCGACCGGCAAGTTGCGTGGCACATGACGTAGACGAGGAGTCCAGCTGGACAAAGCAGGCCTTGTCGCGAGCTGTCCGCCAAAGCCTGCCAATGGTCAGTCGGGCTGCTCTCGTCACCGGCCTTTTCCACTTGTAGCCTGGGTGAAGGAATCTTCGAATCCTGTCCGTCTCCGACTGTGGATCCTCCTCCTGTCCCGCACGGGGCACAGGGCGCTGCGACTGGTAACTGGTAATTCCTACGGGTCCATGCGTTTCTTTACGTCAATTCCGTTGCGAGGCATTTCCCGCGACCGCGACGACGACTTGGACGAGGACCGTCGTTCTTCGACTCGGAAGACTTTTCGTTATTGCTCGTGAGAGAGAGAGAGAGAGAGGGAGAGAGAGATCGATTGGCTAGCTTCTTCGTGAAGAAGCTCTCGTCCGCACTCTCGAATTTCTGTGCAGACGGGAGTTCGTTGGTTCGCTGGCTCGCGTTCGTTGCCGTCTGCCTATCAACCTGCAGTTGCCCGACCGCTTGGAGTTGGTGGAGGGAGAGTAGTAGTGCGCCTCGTTGCCTGGTTTCATCGCTGAGTTTTTCGCAGGTTGGTGGTTGTGGCGCTCGTCGTTGGAGTGGAGTGGCGTGGCGTTGGTGGAGCCCTGCAGGTGGACCTGCGAGTGAATCATTCTCGACGAGGAAGACATTGTTTGTTAGAGTGGCGTTTCTGAGTATTTGATCGGCGGAGGCGCAGGCGGTGGTCGCTGCTGCTTCTCGGGATAAAGCGGGCGAGGTCGCTTGCATTCTTCTTGCCTTCTCAATTCTCTTCGCCGTAGCTTGTGGCTTGTTTTGGAAGGTGTCTCTGTCTTTCCGGCGTGCTCTTTCGCCGAACGTCCTCATGCGCATAACTCTGAGAGAAGTGGCTCATGTCCTTACCTTCGATTGCGTTTCACTGCCTGCCGCAGCCTTCGTATCTTCTTTGAGTGGAGCTGCTCTGCCGCGAAGTCAGTTCAAATTCTTTTTGGTTCTTCGCCGCCAGGTTCATCCAATTGGTGAATCATTGCTGCCGGGCGACTTGTGTCAGACTCTTCTGTGTCGAATACCACATTCCTCCACGTGATGCGCCTGCGGTGCTCCTGAAGTACGTGAGTAGTTCCTTGCCCCGAAGTGTTTGCAGTGCAGATGTAAATACGTTCTCTACAGCTGTAGGATCGGTAGTAGGACAGCGTAATCAGCGGGCCAATGCTCATCCTACTTATTTTTCGAGCCGGATTCTTATTGCGGCAGAGCGGATTTACTCCACTACGGAGAGCAAAGCTCTGGGAATGGTATATGCTGTCCGGAAGTTCCGACTTCCTTCGTGTGGATGTTCTGTCATAAAACTTGTCACCGATGGGTGATCTCATTTTGCTACTAGCGGACTACTCTTCTATAATCACAATCCACTGTCACGAACATTGCGTCTATCTTTTGTCTAGCTTGCTGGAAAAATTCTAAGCCGTCTTTTGCACCCTCTGTAAGTAACCTTCACTAAAGTTATAGCCTCTGCAGGTATATCGACATCGATGACTTAATCCTCTTGTTTATCTGACCCTTCATTTATGGCTTGTAAACCTCACGACATGTCTTGGATCAGTGTCCCTTACCTGGTTTGCCGTACCTTCAAACATTCTAAGCCATACAGCTCTCTGAATCAAATGTCTGCTTTGCCTTCTCTTCCAATTGTTTGAATAAATGTGAAAATCTTGTGAGTGTTCAAGTTCAGGACCTTTTTGACTAAGTTTTTTTATACAAACCTGAATATGTAACAAACAGATCACAAATATGACATGTCACCATCACAGGGCCTGAGTTTGCGACGTATTCAGTTCTGTCTAAAGTATATCAATTTAAGGAACGCTAACTTCAAACCTTCTCATTCGGAAATCTACTCATTGACGGGCAAAATTCATGAAGATTTTGCTCCGTTGATGTCGAAGGATTCTCTGGATAATAAGGTGGTGTGCCGTTTTAGTTTACTCTTTACAGCTGACATCATACAAAATCCTCTACGTATCTCATACATACCATTTGGGGTCTGAGCTCATTCAAGCTGCGCTTTACCTTGCTTTATGAGGTGGTTAAGTACTATGGTGACGTCTGTTACTGTCCATATGTGCACTTCAATGTATATCTCAATGAATTTCGGAATTGTAAACCTCAATCGTCTCTATGGTGCGCTTTAGGAGGCTTCCAATTAACGACTTACTTTTGGCATTTTATTGGTACCTGTGACAGCTTCTCTGAAGTCGATGACTTCGGGTCGCGTCCTCTAGTGGGAGCCTCGGCTGACATCATGGGGGATATTGGAGCCATATCAGATCTGGTAAAAGGAATGTGTAGCTCAGTGGGTGTTCAACCCCATCTGTCTGGTCCCTCACATCCGCCAGGCTCTGCTGCTGCTGCTACCCCTAGCGGTGCAATCGAAAGAAATCAAACTGTACACACCATACTTCGTTGTTGCTAAACTCTTTCTGCGCCAGCTAGCGGCTCGTTGGGTTGGTCTGAAATAAAATTCTGCCTTCGGCTTTAGTACCATTTCCCTCTTTCTAATCTATTTCTATCTCGTTGTTCCCTATACAATCAGGACTTTAGGGACGCCGATGCAACTCTTGCGAAGTTGTTATGGCTTGGCTACCCTCATGAAAAGGCAAGCGAGGCCATGCGTGTTTCTGGTAAGTTCACTGAAGTGAACAGTTCTTGCTCCCTCTATTTCCTCACCCGATCCCAGGTCCCCGTTAGGCTTGTGTAGTACATATAGCAAGCTAACTGTTCTTATTTTATGGCTGGACTGATAGGGAGCGTGGATCCCGGCTTCCTTTCAGATTATATCATCAACCATTCGGTGAGCTGGAACAGAACCTTATATGCCACATGCCAGTCTTCTAACAAATTCAGCGGTGTTTTTTTTTTAAATCTTTAGGTGTCTTAATTCTATGTTTCCCATCCTCTAGGATGATGCCTCATCAGGTTCTGAACCCACAGCAGTGAGGAGCAACGGTTTCAAAGAAACAGGGAACGATAGATCGTCCCGCCCTCAAGCAGCTATTTTACGAATATGTGAACCGGACGAAGAACGGCCTAGACCCGTGCTCATGCCAGCAAACGGCAGCTCCCGAGTAATTGACGGAAAAGGGAAAGCCCTCATGGACGAAATGGTCGAAGAGGTAAGACTGTCCAATTTATCATGTATAGCAAAACACTTTCATGGGAAGTAGGTGAAAAACAAAGTCCTCTTGATTAGCAAGATTTTTGGTTGGCTTCATTCCTCTAGTGGTTTATGGGCCTCGTATTGCACCTATTCTATGCTAATATGTCTTCCTCACTTTGTCTCCGATGATTTTCGTCCTCTCAGGATGGCGAACCAGAGGATGATAGATGGGATGTCAGCAACGCTGATACCACGCTGGAGATTTTAGTGGAGATGGGTTTCACACCCGATAAAGTCGAAGAAGCTATAAGAGCACATGGTACGAACCCCATCAGATCTTATGCATACATATGCTGCTTTCTCAAAGTCCTCTATCATCTGTGTTTCGCTGTATCTCTCCTCCTCTCACTGTATACTATCTTGCAAAGATTACTCAATTATTCTCGTTGACGGTTTACTTCTCTTGTCGCGGAATGGATTCAAATGTGTTCTGTGCAAATCTGGGTCCGTAGTCCACTTACAGTAGACAGTAAATGCGTAGAAAAACAAGGTCCTTTTTTTGCATGGCTAATTTGTTCCATGGGGTTTTGGTGGTCACGGTTGGTTGAAGTCTTAACTTTGGTATGTGGGTTGGTGTTCCTCACAACTCTTTTGTGATTCATCTCAAAGTTATCAGTATGTTCTTCCGTGGATCAGGCAAACTTGCCATGTTTCCTGTTTCGACTTAGACATGGTTTAATGCACAGGTATCACGGGCAATATATTAGAAAGCGTGAGCAGCCTAGCCAACTATATCGTCACTGGGCTGAACAATCTGAACCTGGACCAGGTTAGCAATATATAACCGTCTCCTAAGTTGTGTTCAGCTGCGAATAGTGTGCTTTGCTATATTTTACCTTGCTTCTGGAATAATACATGAGAGCAGTTTCGGGCTCTTCTGCCAATCTAAAATTTTATCGAGATACTCCCGAAATTATTTTCTTCAGTCTCAAGAATAGTTTCTGGGATGTCTCCAGGACCATCCTGATGACAGGAACGGACAAGTGGGCGATGAAAACGCACTTGCTCTTGTGATAAAGGATTCTCTCCCGCACCAAGATCTTGAAATTTTTAAACAAGTGACTGCGATGGGTTTTGATGCTGTGGAGGTTTCCAAGGCGATTGGTATTTGTGGTAGGTCTATGACCTTGTAATATCTATTACAAGCACCGACGTTTCTCATTCTCAGAATGCCAATGTGGATAAGTACAGGGCTAAGTAGATCACATAATGTAATTGAAAATACCTACCGTACTGATAAAGTTCTACATTTTTTCAGGAGAAGCAGCTACAGGAGATCAAATCGTTGATCACATTTTTCAAAGTGATGCCTCTGAGAAAGTCGAGGTGACCAGTTTCGTTTTGATTCCAACTTGCTACTTTCTTGAACCACCATAGCGCCTCTCATCTCAACGCTTGTACAATCTCTTTCATAGCTCGTCCTTTTGCAACATTGTGCAAATTTTATTATCATCAACCATGTAGCGTTGATGACAAACTATCTGCATGCATCTGACACTTCTTTGTAGACGTGTACGCAAACACAGGACATAGCTGTCTGAACGGACATGTAGACACCTTCAAGATGATTTAGTCGTTGTAACTGGTTTCTACTTTGATTGTTGTGATCAGTTCAGCTTAATCAATGACTGCATGGATGGTATATATGGTTTAAGGTTTACACACTTTTTATAATACAAAATCTAATTTTGAGTTTGTATCACAACCTAGATAATTCCCAAGGTGGAACCAGTGGAAGATAACTCCATCTCAAGCAAATTCGATCAACTCCTTAATATGGGCTACTCTTATGTCAATTGCAGGCGCGCAGTTGATACTTACGGTAAATAACAGAACACAAAGAGCTTGTGCATATGTTTACACGTTCTAGAATCAGTTGTGTCGCGGTGTCAGACACCTACTTATAACCCCATTCTCTCTCATCGGTTTTGGAATTGGAGTTTGGCCGTAACGAGCTGTGTGTGTATTCTGATCAAGCATAGTGATCCGTGAATTCACTTGCAGGTCAGGCATCAATCTGTGAACTCTGCGATTTTTTGGACGCTCTCGGAGAAGAGGACAAGAACCAAGACCTTGATGCAGTAAGTTCTGTTCGGCCTGCCTTGAAGCCTGAGTATCCATTAGTCATCGTTGACGTTTATCTCTTGTTTTTGAATGTCTGTTGTATTCAGCCTGGTCTTTTCCAAATCATTATGCTTGCTGCGAAGTCATACGTCTGTATTACACAACCACTGGCCGACCCTTGTACGTAAATTCTAGCAGTTGATTGTCGCAAGGAGCGGAAAGTCATCCTCGGATAGTGATGATGAGTCTATGGAGAACGTGAGTACTCGGATCCTTTTTCTTCGTCTGGATAAGTATTTTAATTTCGTCATAAGTAGCCTGCCTGTTATTGGATTCATACCTCGAACAATTCTCGTGCGCCTTTTCTGTCTTGCATGATTTGCTTGTACGTAAAGGCCAGCTTTGTTCACTTAATTTCCTGAGTGTTTACTATAGACATAGGTCTACTGAGACCGATGGATATATTTGTATGTATATGTCATTGCGTATTGCCACAGTCCTGTTTATAATGTATCCTGTATTGTACACTATCCCGCTATAGCGTACGTTTTTACATAAGAGCTGAAAGCACGCAGTACACTTGTTCCAAACGTGAATTTTCAGGTATCCGTCCTCTAGGATATCCGTTTTCGCGTTTCTCATTTGACATTCAGCCCACTGACTTTCTTATTTCTTACACGAGTAAATACCAAGCTTTCCTCTGAGTCGCGAAGCTGAGTTCTTTGTGCGAGTGTGTGAACATTACAGCGATTTGTGTTCTTTCGACAGGGCAAGGAGGGATTTGATTACTTTCCTCCTATCAAGAAGCGAAGAACTGGAAAGATTAAGAATACGCGAACTTCGAAGGACAAGAGGTTATGCGTTTCTTACGGGTCGTCTATATCTCGGAACGAAGATTTGATCCGTAGAAACCGAACGGGTTTTGGCCTCCCTGGAGACATTGTCATCACTAGGACACTTCCTCCTGATGTTGGACGCCCTCCTTACTTTTACTTCGAAAATGTGGAGAATATGCCTTCAGGAGAGTGGAGTAATATCCAGCGACACCTTTTTAATATCGAGCCGGAGCTGATGGATGCTCTTAATTTTTCTGTTTGTAGAAGGCCTAGAGGTTATGTGCACAATCTTCCTGTGGAAGGAAGAATGGACATTCTTCCAAAACCTCCAATGACAATACAGGAGCTAATGGGAAGTGCTGCCAAGTACTGGCCTGACTGGGACAAGCGCGTAAAACTAAACACAATTTGCACAAGGTCAGCTACTGATTTTGTTTGGAGGCAAATCAAAGATCACCTCCAAGCTTGTGAGAAGAGAGGACATCCATTAGACGAGGAGAAGAAGAACATTATGTACTGGGCGCGCAAGTGGAATCTGGTTTGGGTACGTCCAAATAAATTAGCTCCTCTCAGCCCTGAGGAAGTCGAGAAATGTCTGGGATTTGATGTGAACCATACTCGGGTTCTTTATTCCCCTGTCGACAGAATCAAGGTCTTAGGAAATTCCTTTCAGGTGAATACGGTCGCTTATCAGCTTTCAGTTTTGAAGGCTCGTTATCCTCAGGGTATGAGAGTATTGTCCTTGTTTTCAGGCATAGGAGGAGCTGAAGTTGCTCTTCATAAACTAGGTATAATTCTGAAGGTCGTGGTGAGTATTGAGATCGACGAAAAGGCAAGGAGTGTCCTGGACAGTTGGTGGAAGTCAACCGATCAAAAGGGACATCTGATACACGATCACACAGACGTGAAGCTTTTCGATTCAAGGGTTCTTATGGGACTTTTAAACAAGTACAAGGGCTTTGACCTGGTCATAGGAGGCAGCCCTTGTAATAATCTCTCTGGGAACAACAGATCCAGTCGTGTGGGTTTGCAGGGTACAGAAAGCGTAGCATTCTTTGAGTTCCCTCGGATATTGAACGTTGTTAGAGACTTCATGAGTGATATGGACGAAGAACTCGATCTCGACTTTTCTGGCCTGTTAGGTCAAAACAATGTCTGAGTCAGGGCTGGATTTACTTATGAGCAAGACACTGCTACTGATGTAACAAGACATCTGATGGAGATAACGCTGCACGATATGAGAGGTACGCAGTCAGGAACAATGCAATTTTAGTTCTGGTTGAACAGGACACCCTCACTTACTTGATATTCCCCGAGATGAATTATAATTTGTAGGTTGATTAGAAATTTTGGAAGTCAGAAATCAAAAACTTTACTAACTATCTTATCATTTGCAGGGTTGGAGGTAATGTGTAACTATTCCAGCAGTGTATGTTTTCTCTGCGGTTGATCCTGGTTCTTCAAACCTCCTTGCTACAAGCCTCCCTTCGTCTAGGAAGTTCTCTTTTCTTGAAAGCTGAACTGTACACCAAGTTAAAAGCCATGGTGCATCATTCTCAGTCCGACTTTTTTGGGAGGACTTCTTGTATCTGCTATCAGCAGAAAAGATCATATTCACAAGTTTCAAGGTATGTTCGTTCCTGTATCGATCATATTTAGTAATCATTATGGGCGCATCAATTGAAAGAATGATAAATTTTGAAACAGGTCATCACGGTTTTGGAATCGTTTGGGAGTGTGTCAAAGGAGTTTATTTCTCTTAGCTTTTTCCACGGGTGTAATGCACGAGTGAAATCTAAACCTCGTCTTGTAATTGGAGAAATGCTAAGCCGGCTGAGCGAGTCGACCTTGCCAACTGTTTTCGTCCTTGGCACGACATACCAGTGTAGTAGACTTTGCACTCCGTGCCAACCGAACCATGGAAGCAATGTCATCAAGATATGTCTTAGCTAGATATGTTCTGTCTACACATCGTCGATGACAATCACTGTACGCCGTCTTATGGCCCGGTCCTTCACAAGCTAGCGAGATTGATGGGAAGTGGTGACATCTTTTCTATCTACGAATATGGAGCTCCCTACCTCTTTTTTACTTCTGTTCTCACAAGGCGATGCAGGAGGAAGATGAATTTCGGCATTTCACTGGGAAATCTGAACTACCTTATTTCTTAAATGCCTGGGATCCTATATTTACCGGCCGACAAGGGCTCTTTGGTGTAGTTGGAGTTATATCTTGGAGAATGCGTGCAATCAAGTCTTGTTTCTCTACTACAATACGGCAACGTCACACGGCAATTCTGCTGAGGTTGATTCAGAAAAGCTGCATGATGGGGCATCCAACAGCAGAGGGAATGAGCTTGTGCTCGGCACCAAACACTTCCACGTTTTTATATTCTGAAATTTGGCCTGGTCTCAGCTTCTTCTCTCTGAGGGACGGTTTATACGTAGAAAGGTGGCGGCTGTTCAATGCCGTTTCTTTGTTGGAACACCATTAGATTCGTAGAGTTGCCACTTGGTGTTTGAACCAGTTTCAGATGCCAGTGGCAGTTGTCTCATGCGGACTTGATGATCCAAACCATCTCCGCAGGTGGTCTAAAAGATGGATTCAGATGCCCACTCCAATCATTAACTCACAATATGACATTTCAGCAATGCGTCAGATTGCTCCTTTCACCCTTTGCACCCAGTCACAAGCATGTAGTTAGTGGAACGATGGGAACCTCAGTTGTTGAAGTATGATCTTACAATTTGTTTGCATGTATTGTTTGCCCTTCAGTGTGTTGGAAGTCTTCAGAATAATTTTCCTGTACACACGTCATTTGTAATGCTCACAGTCCAAGTTCATTCTCTTTTATCAGACTACCCAATCGAAGACTTCACGCGAGGAAAACAACTATTACATGAATCTCCCTTCAAATCCTTCAGAGTCCATCCCATTTTCCGAATGTGAGTTGCTTTCTCCAGATCTGAACGCTCCCCTGTCGTCCAGGTACCGCCGAATTAAACAGAGAAACCGAAGGAACACGAAGAAAGTTGTTGGTTGACTGTTTGGTTGAGCCCACTGTGCATGTGCACGTTCCTTTTCAATCCATCAATAGTGTGCTCATCAACAATACTGAGGTCAAAACTGAAATCTAAGAAAGAAGCAAATTAGAAACCCAAATCTACCATTGTTGTACACTCCTCACCAACAAAGCACGTTCAGGAATTGATAACACGATGAGAATATAATACAAAACACACATTTAATAACAATAACACAAAACATTTGTCAATGAGATAGCTTACAGTAGTAATTGATGGAGTATTTTTACTTTTTTGTTTCAAATTATCTTAGGCAAGAATGTTGGCGAGGAGTGTTAGTGCGTAGTGGTCCAGTGCAAAACTAAGGTTGTAGTAATAGTTGCAGGACTCAACTTGCACGACTGCGATCAAAACAATAATAGGTGAAATGGTCGAAAACATGAACTGCGTACACATGAAATGTTAATGAAAAGTAAAGCCGATAACGACACAAAAACTAGTCCTCTGGCGGCTACACCCCCTTACTTGTTAGTTCAGCCATGGAGCTAAAAGTGTTTTAAAGACTACTTAAATGATTAATTTAAGTAGCTATTAATCTTGCATATTGAAAGTGACATAAACAATAGTTAACAACAAAAGCGAAAGAGCATACTCACGTCAACACGTGCCTTGATTCATTGTGGAGAATCATATATCTCCCTACATGTATCAGGAAGCAAAATTAATACCTTTAGTCTACGCAAATGAACCTTCTGTGTCATTTTAAAAATCCCCTGAGTATTAGCGATGGATAAATTGGATAATAGTCAACAATGTGGAGCTTTTGAAGAGAATCATAATTGTACCTAGCTATGCCCTAATATGAAATTAGTCTGACGAGGAATGTGGTTATAGCGAGGGTCTAGTTCATAAAAGAGCAGTCCTCGTCATTGGTACAATTTCGGCAATTTCCAGCACGATGCTGGAGATTGCCGAAATTAGATTGGTCGCTCTCTCAAGAGACGTTTGAAACAAACTCAAGTTCCTGTAGTCTAGAAGAGCACGCTCCGATCTGACGAACATGCGCGGGAAACGAAGATTCAAACCACTCTCGCCGTTGCCGCTACGCTGCCGATGGAGCGGGCCCGCGTCTTCATGGTATCATGGCACCGAACGGCCGGCCGAGCGGATTCCAACGACGAGCGTCTGCGCGCGGTGCAGTTCCAGATTCTCGCTCGCCGATTTCGAGACTGTGATCATCGCGTCGAGTGACAGCTTGACGAACAATGATTTTCGGGCCCTTCTCTTGTGCTCATGGAGTTCGCCGTGTCGCTTTCACGTCGATCGGTTTGCAGTGCGATGCGCTCTTATCCGATGTGAAGAGTACAATCGCTGGATGACGATTAACTATATCTGAGCAGGGAGGAGGGGATTTGTGGCGATGGATTTTTTGCCTGGCAAGAATCGGTTGTAATTCGCTGTTTCTCGTTGATGTCAGTTGGACTTGCTCATGATAGTATAGAGATTTGTGTCAATTGCAAATGGCATGAGCAGTTCCCATCGTCGTACATCTGTGCTGTAGATTCGGAATCCCGCCCTCATCTCGTAGACTCGGAATCTATGAATTCAAGAGAAATGGCAGATTCGAACTTCGTCCGGCACTGGGCAGCAGGAGAGTGATGAGTCCGCTGCAAACTAGCGGACATAAGCGGCATTCAATTGCTATGAGTTGGAATTGTGCTTGCACGATAGGTGCTGCGCTACAATTACAGGTTGAAATACACAGTAGAGGTCGTTGTCTTTGGACAAATTCGAGGAAATTTGGGTCGGAGAGAGTGCTGAAGATATAAGCACTGCTAGACAGAGCTACGAAGATGCAGGCAGCTCGGTTGGCCACGAGGCTCCAGCGGGAACTGCGAATGCTTCAGAGTGACCCCCCTCCTGGTGTCTGCGCCTGGCCTTGTAACGATTCTCTGTCACACTTGGAAGCTCGTAAGTTCAATCCTCTGCTTGTACCTCTTCTCTGTCTCCGAATGCCTCTTACGTATCTAATCCTAGAAATTTTCACCGAAATTACCTTAATCACGCGCGAAAAGAATCTGTGTTCTCTCTGATATTAAGCATTTCTCCAGGAAATTGAGTCAAACCTGTTCGTACGAGTTGCGTTCACCAATGCGATGTATGTGAGAATGGATTGTCTGGTGCCTGAGCTGTACTCCCTCTAGAAGCTGTGTTGCTCCAACGCACGGTCTTGTATGTGCAGAAATTCAGGGGCCGGATGGAACAGTTTACGCGGGAGGTCTTTTCAAACTCGAGATTCATGTTCCTGACAGGCATGTACTTGATAGCTTCAAAGTCTCGTTCATTTTCAAGGCTGTAGTATGGATTGTCGTTGTGAATGTTCCTCATAAATAACGTCTTGGAATTGAAACTTAAACTTTCATCAGGTATCCATTCGAGCCCCCGAGCGTCAGGTTCAAAACTCCGATATACCATCCAAACATAGACACCGGAGGCCGGATCTGCCTGGACATCCTCAACATGCCACCGAAGGTATGGTTGTACTCTTTCTTTACTAGCATTGAGCCATCAGATAATTCATAACCTCGAATCTGTTATCAAGGATAACACAGCTTGCAATTTCCCTTGCTGATATCTTGTCTACAGTCTCTCTTCAATTTAAAAACTCGACCAGGGTTCAAAAGTGCTTCAATACAGCATCCTCTTTCTCTTTATTGTCACTCTGATTCTCACTGTGAGGGGTGTTCTTATCATTGACGTGTAGGGTGCCTGGAAGCCCTCTTTGAACATGCCTACGATACTCGCCAGCATTGGTATACTTTTGGCCGAACCTAATCCCGACGATGGACTCATGGGAGACATTGTAAGTAACTTGCTCTCTCGTGAGAAACTTACGTCAATGTCTGACTGGTAAAAGCTTTCCATGTAGTCGTGGGATTTCTCGTCGGAACTGAAGATGCTCACAGAGCTCATGGCTTCTTAGTTGATCAATTGTAATGCATCAGCCGACTAAGGTGCAAGCGTGAACTAAAAATCTGATTACTTCGTATCCAGACAGCGGAGTACAAGCATAATCGCCGATCTTTCGACATGACTGCTGTTAAATGGACTCAGCAGTATGCACTGCAGAAGGAGTCTGTTGTTGGAGATGTTAGTACTCCTGTACAGCATAACGATAATGTCCAACACAAAACGTTGATAGCCGAGGTATTTCGCTTTCTACCTACTGAACTAAAATGTCATTCTCTTGTGCGTGTTTTTTCGAGTTGAGTAGATTGGAATCAAAAGCTGTGGGTTCGAAATAACAGCTGACAAATGTGACCGTCGACTTTGAACTTCAGCCATTATGTCACTTAGACACCAGATTGAAACCCCTGCACCAGTAGCATTTTCTGGAACTAATTCGAATCTCATTCTTATTTACAGGGAAGAAGAACTTCGACGGTCAATGGGACCAAAATTACCAACACTCTAGGTACAGGCACTGCGGCGAGCACTTCGAAGCCTTTTCTTGGGACCAGATTATCACTGGAGAGAGGATCCAAGGATTCAGGGAAACAAAGCTTTATGAACACCGAAGATGTGGACGTGGTGGCAGTAACATCTAAGCGTGCGTTAGCATGTATCGACAATACGGTGGGAACGCGACACGTCGATCAAAGCTTGGAAATTTCCACTGAGGTCTCAAAGTTGAAGGGGTCGGAAAATGAAGTCAAAATGACGGCAAAAATCGGGGGAAGTTCACATGTAGCTCTGAATGCGGAAGGATGTCTAAGAACAGGCGCATCCAATTTGTTCACTGAGAACACTGTGTCCACTGGGCCATCCTCCATGGACCCCGGGAATGTCAAGAGGTCTCCTGAAGCCCGAAACATAATGACTCTAACAGATTTACCACCAGCATCTTCGAAACAGCAAACTAGGTGCCGCGTTGGAAGCAAGCCCAGCGAAACAGTCACTTCAATATCTCATGCATCATTGTCCGTTTCGACTGCAGAGGAAACGAACTGCTCGGAAAGAAGAAGCAAGTATTTTTCATCTTCTTCGTTTAAAGCTGTTAAGCACGCCAGCGGTGAAAGCGCCGATGCACTGTCGAATGGAGAGAAGGCTAATTATCTCCATCCAGAGAGCGTCAAGAGTCGGATCTGCGTTGCTGTATCAGACGCATGTCCTGTGAGAATTCCACCGACCCACAATCTTGGCTATGAGGAAGTACGTGCCCAAGATCATGCGGCTGCCACTTCAACTCCGGTTTTTGAAAATGGACAATCTGAAGAAACAGACAGACAGACGTCTTCATCCTCCACTTCATCTCTTCCCATACCTTCCAAGAAAACGGTTCCATCTGCCATCCCTGACGAGAATTCTGACGGAGCTCACGCTAAGCGCCGGAAGCAAGCTGCACTTTTCAGGCAGACCCAGGATACCGTCATCCAAGCAGATTTCAATGGAAGGATAGACAGATATTTCACGGCCTCGCCTGTTGTTCGGGCAAGTTCGGCAAGCCCCACCACATCTGATGGAAACGCACCGCTTCAGAGATGTGCTGCATACTCCTCAGCATACTTCAGCAACTTTTCAACACCTCGAAGTACTGACGCCGATATGGTACTCATCACTGGCGAGTCGGGCCCTGTTAAACCCGGGACCACGACAGTAGATGACAGATCGCATCTCAAGAAGAAACCCCCAAGGCCAGCCAAAGCTTGGGGGGCCACCGAAGTCATAGTATTGGACAGTGAGAGTGACGAAGAACCTCCGAAGGGAAGGTCGAGACTTTCACTGTCAAGGAGAAGATCGAAGAACAAGTGATCTATCACAATCTCGGCAGCACTATGTCCACCTTAAGTGTGTAGTCGAGAAATTCAACTGCCATTTTAGGCCAACTGTACATACAGGAAAGCTTGCAAATTTGTACGAAATGGCAAAGCTACTTTTCCAGAAGAGAAAATGCAATGTACATGAGAGAAAAGCTCTTAATGGGCTATGGGCTCATTTTTGTTTTCTAATGTGAGAATACTACACAATCTGCAGATGCAGACGAGAGGCGAGATATGGGCTCCTTTCAAATTCTGCGGAACACATCTATTCCAACAACCTTCCAAATCTTATTCACTTCCCAAGCGTACGGGTTACATCAGATAATCTATGATTCAAAATGCTATCTATCTATACGGATGAGGGCGAAGTAGCTGTTACAATTGAAGCCCCGAAGAAGTGGAGCTAAACTCCGACTGGAAGGAAAGAGCAGCCTGCACGGAAGATGCCCACATGGATGATTTTCCTTAGGTGCACATCCATCGTAGGAAATTGTCTTCTGGACGTGATGACGGAACCACTCTGACGCTGAACGTTTCAGAAATATCGGTCAATCGGCGACACTTCACCATTGTATAATCATTCCGATTTACTTTACACGTACTGCTTCGAACGAGAGAACGATTCGAACTTGATTTCACAATTTGCTGACGGCTGTACTGGGTCCCAGTGCTTTGGCTCGTTCCCTGAGTACATTTTTTTGTACTTTGCCCGTGATGGTCTTCGGTAGAGCTTGGAACACCACAGTCCGAGGAATCATGTAGTGAGGCAAATGTTCTCTGCAGTAGTCGACCACTGCCTTCTCCGACAATGGGCCAGAGTTGGACTTTAGTGTGACAAACGCACAGGGAGTCTCACCCCAGAACTCATGCGGACGAGCAACAACGGCTGCCTCGAGAATTTGAGGATGGCGGTAGAGAACGGATTCCACCTCGATGCTGCTGATATTCTCCCCTCCAGATATTATGATGTCTTTCGAACGATCTTTCAGTTCAATGTACCCATCGGGATGCATCACTCCAAGGTCCCCTGCATGACCACAACTCTTCTCAGTTCACCGAAGCAGATCTCGAAACCAACGACAGCTTACAAGAGTCAGAGCTTCCGAAAATGGTGGACAGCTTCACGACATTCAAGCCGACGCTGATAGTAAGCAGCCAAAGTCTCGATTCACGTCTCCGAGACATGTCAGAGACAGCAGCGTCTCGGCGCAGCTCTAGCTCCCGATTTGTCGACAAGACTGACGGAATCCGAGTACAGAAGGTGGAGATGGAGAAAGTGCGTACCTGTGTGGAACCAGCCTCCGTGGAAAGCGTCGCGGGTGGCTTTGGGGTTGTTGAGGTAGCCTTTCATGACGACGTGGCCCCTGATCATGACCTCGCCCAGAGTTTCTCCGTCGCTACGGACCGGCGTAAGGGTCTTGGGATCGAGGACCTCGGCGTCGGGCAGGGCCAGATGGCCGACCCCCTGGCGAGCCTTGATCCGGGCCCTCTCCTCCAGCGGCAGCCGATCCCACTCCGCCTTCCAGGCGCACGACAGCGCCGGCCCGTAGCACTCCGTCAGCCCGTAGGCGTGCGTCATCCGGAAGCCCAGCCCCTCCATCTTGGCCAGAGTCGCAGCCGGAGGGGGCGCAGCGGCCGTCATGAACTCGATCTCGTGCGCCACGGGCCGCGCCTCGAACTCGTGCGAGTTGGCGATGATCGTTAGCACCACCGGCGCCCCGCACATGTGCGTCACTCCGTTCCCCTTGATGGCGGCGTGGATGGGCTTGGCCGCGACGTGCCGCAGGCAGACGTTGGTGCCCCCCATGGCGGCCACGATCCACGGGAAGCACCAGCCGTTGGCGTGGAACATGGGCAAGGTCCACAGGTACACGGGCTCGGCTCGCATGCCCCAGTCCATGGCCAGGGCCAGCGAGTTCAGGTACGCCCCCCGGTGGCTGTACACGACGCCCTTGGGATGCGACGTCGTCCCGGACGTGTAGTTGATGGAGATGGAGTCCCACTCGTCGTCGGGCATGCGAGTGGCGAAATTCGGTTGTCCGTGCAGGATGAAGTCCTCGTACTCGGGCAATTCCTCGAACAGCCCTCGTCGGAGCTGTGCCTCGAGGGCCTCATCTTCCTCGTCTTTGACATGAATTAGAGGAGGCCTCTCGAGCCCCGGCTGCTCGGCGGCCCAAAGCTCCACCGCTTGCCGCACCACCGGCACGAACTCCGTGTCGACGAAGATGAGCTTGGCCGCCGAGTGCTGCAGCAGCACCGCCATGGTGCGGGCGTCGAGCCGAGTGTTGATGGTGTTGAGGACGGCCCCCGACATCGGCACCCCGAAGTGGATGTCGTACATGGCAGGCACATTAGGCGCCACCACCGCCACCTGCACACGGATTGCATCCTCCGGCTTGTCAACCCAGACCTCCGATTGCACCCGCTTGCGATTATGATCAGCCGGCGGGCTTGTTATTGAACCCCAAAGATTCATCGTTCTTCCTCATCTTTGGTCTCTTCCTCTCGTGGCGATCGGATCGGATCTGACGATGGATTTGTGAGACTTAGGGACGGAAGACAAGACACGGAGAAATGGAAATTGGAAATTGCTTGTTGTGAGTGAAGTGATAAGTCCTCTGGGGAATTGAGTTCAACAGACGAGACTACCGAGTTTCTAGCTGCGGACTTCGAGAAAACGAACCAATTATCGCTCCAACCTTGAGTCTTGCCACAATTGAGTGTGGCAGAGAACCCTGAAGGCACTTCTAAGGATGCAACCTGAGAAAAGCAGGGAGTGCTCGTCTGGCTGGGTAGGCAAACGCACCGTGTGTCCTGGAAGGATACGATTTGCCACCAGAGCTGATGCAAGGCGTCGACAGCGCTCCATGGTCAACTTCCATGTGAATCGTCGACGGCCGTAGATGACCGACTCCTTGTCCGGGTATACTTTTGCTGCCCTCTCTATGAAGGTCAGAGGAGTCAGAGGCGAGAAATTCGCTGCGCACTTGGGCAGCTCATCCTCTACCATGTTTCCCACTCTCCCTCTCGCCAGCCACCACCAATCTCCGGCCGCCCGCCCACGATCAGGACAAGAATTCAACTCCGGCTGCTTTGCTCCGCTCTGCTCTCATCAAAGTCTCACTTCACTCCTGCTGCTGCTCTGGCAACTGACATCGCCCACATCTGCAAGCGAAAGGCCAGCCGCCCTGCAGATTCTCCTCACCGCTTGGCGTCGCTCGCAAATCTCAAACCCACCTACAAACAACGTCGTTCTTGCCTTGCGAGATCAGAAGGCGAAAATGAACTGAATCGTGGTCAGTGACAGCGTTCCTCTTTCAGGATCACCGGTGAACTTTCCAGACAGAGCAGACAGTTCGATCACAAGCATCTACTAGCAGCTAGCATACCAAGAAGGACGGATTCGGGCCACGGTCGCTGTCCGTCTCCTTTCCCTTTGGAAAGCGAGAGGTGCACTTTAGACTTGTGAGTTTCGAGGTTGAGGTGTAAAGAGGAAACCTGAAACTGGCAGCGAACGAGGCATCAGGTGATGATGAGTGGAGCTTCACGGACGGCCCGCCACGAGGTCCGATTGACGGTTGAGAAAAGAGAGCTTGAGGACATCCATTTCTCCAAAGTGCACGACTACTCTCTCTCTCTCATTCACTCACGTACTCACTCACTCACTCTGTCGAAGCTGTCGATGATCCTTATCTATCCTCCTCAACTGTCGCCCGCACTGTCTGACTCTGTCTCCTCTCCTGAACCCGCACGAGCTCCTTTCTCTTCTCTTCGTTTGGTTCATTCTAATTTACGAGTTTCTTCTGAGAAAAGCCGAGGACAACGTTGTACCTCATCATTTCTCTGGGCCTGCCGAGAATATAGCATAGCTGATGTGGAGTGACCAAATAAGTCACCTGTTGGCGAATGTAGCTTTCTCCAAACCTTCCTGGGAGACTGCCAATGAGATTGTGATATTCCGAATTTATGGGATGAAAAAAGAATGCTCGCGCTATCAACAAAGAGAAATTCCCCTTCGCCGCGCTACCGGGGGTTGACTTGGAACTCTTTTACATCGATTGGCAGCCGTTGGCTTGGGTAAGCTCCGATCTCACTTTTTGCTAAATTTCCAGACTTTCCTTTAGCTCCAGGTATTAGGTATTGTTATTTGAATCTTTGGCTTTTCAAGTTGAAGCATAGTTATATATCTTCCCATTCGTCTTTCACAATTCTCATCCAGGTTAACTTGTGTCAATTTCTGCTTCACTACGTTTCATTTGGCATTCAAGTAAATCCGAAAAGAATTACGCCAGGCTGTACACATAACAATACGAGTATCAAGATCTCATTATACTTTGAATACTTATCAAAAAGATACAAGGACAAACGTTCTTAGTTTCGGGTATTTTAGGCGCTCAAAGCCGGCTCTTATACTCTCCTTGAATCCTCTAATGATAATGGGTAACATTAGCAAAATCCTGCAGTTTAAATCTTCAGATATTTAAGTTTTGAGTATTATATTTATAATAAAGTTAAATGGTGTGTTCAAGTTACAAATAAATCTCATTCAAATTATAATACATTAGTTTTCAAAATATATCACAAACTTTATCTTTGTAAAAATAAATATAAACATTGACATCACTATAAATAATTCACATACTTTTCAAAGTTTTCAAGAACTTAATTTAAAATTGATTTCAATAAAATTTAATAGATGTAAATATTCTAAATTTATTTATTGATAGATTTAAAATCGAAATATGATTTTAAAATTAAATTATAAAATTATTTTTAATGATAATTAATTTTTCAATTTTTTTCTTATTTTACAATATACTAATTTTTTGTGTATTTGAGTTTCATAATAAAAAAAATAAACTAACAAACTAAATAAATTCATTTGTTGGGTTGAATGAATATTGTGAAGCTAAACATTAAAAAAATATATATCTTTATGAATTATATATATACATATTATTCAATCTAATATTGAATAGAAATATTTTCTATAATTAAAATATGAACAAGTTAGAAGATTGTCAAGTTCCATCAACACACATTATTAATGTTTTTTGAAATATTTAATGAAATTTATAATTTATATTAATGTTCAAATAAAAAAAATAAAGTTTTTAATATTATAAATAATTTTTTGGATAAAATTTAAAATTACAAAGGAAATTAATTTTCATGTAGTGAAAAGAATAATGAGTATTCAACTTCATTTAACAATGTATTTTAAATAGTTGAAAATTTTACATAATTTGTAATTTTGTTCTCATGTCAATATTTCAAACTATATATTTTAGATTTGATCAAATATTGGAAATATAATATATAATAAATATAAATTATTCTAAATTTTAATGTAATTTAACGTGCACTAATCATAATTATCACATCAATAATTCTTGTGTTTGTTAGAGTTTTTCGTCACATCATCTATTTAATCAAAATGAGATTTATAATAAAAATAAGATTTTATTCTTTTGGTGATATTGATATAAAGTAGAATAAAAATATTTTTGATATTTTTCATGTTCAGAGTTTATATTTTTATTTTCAAATGAATTTTTCTTTAAATCTTAATGTTATAATTATATCAGAGTAATTTTGCTTTTTCATTCAATGTAAATTATCTCTCAAAAATAAAAAATGAATGATGGTGGAGTGAAGTTTTGAGAATGTATAAAAAATTTGCAGAGTTCATTGATCTGCATGTAAAGAAATGTGAAAATGGAAAATTGTGATTATGTACAAAAGGAAAATTGTGCTTTTGTCTTGATAGGAATCTATTACCGCACTGGCCAATTTCTAACATATTCGACATTCATTTTTGTTGCATAAAAAAATGTCAATTTTGAATGTACTTTATGGTTTGTTGAGATACAAAATTTATTACTAGAGTGATGGAGTTGAGAGTGCCATTAATATTTATCCAAAAGCTATTTATGGAGAGACTTGGTATTGTACCATATACTGAATATTTTATGTATTTGAATCGCAAACTATCCGTTCTAGTTCGGTTCAACATTTATGTAGAGATTAGAATAATATATTAACAAAAAAGATTATAAAGAAATTTTCTTGTGAGAATTTATGGAAAAAAATAGTATAGAATTTTGATAGAATCATCTATTATTTTTGTGACTCTTTTGTTGAAAAGTCATATAGTGATTATATTTATTTTGTATTAAAGTGAATGAGAAAAAAATATGGAAATATCAGTCGATATGGATGAAGTTCTCAACGCAATCATGACAGAGATAAAAGAGTTGAGAAAATCGATAATATATAGACGTACCAAACAACAAACTATAGAAAAGATGGAAAAATAAATTTCCAGTTCAAACTACCCAAGTTCAACCAAAACCAATTCCTATTGATGCAGTAGAGTCAAAGAAGATAAGTTTTCAATACATTAAAAATCATATAAATTTTTTATTTCGAATATGGAAATACTATAAAGTTGAAGCTTACAAAGATAGTAGAGCGATGAGAATGTTAAAGGTATTGATAATTCATTTATCCCATTTTTGTTTTTCTGATTACATTGCATGAATATTCATGAGATCTTATCTTCCGGATAATTCTCTCACATGGTATACAACATGGGAGAGAATGATTTCATAATAAAGTGTTTCCATTTCGTGAATGGAATGACTTCTGCAAAATTTTCAAACGGTAGAATACATTCAAATTGCAAGAATGAAATAGTGGCATTTGAAGTAAAAATGAGTTATCCATGAATACATTGAAAAATTTTGTGATCTTCAATTATCTATCATGGAATAAATAGTGGGGCAGAAGCCTTAGACGTATTCAAACGAGGCTTGAAATATCGAATTTGAAAGTACATGATGGTAAACAACCCATCCACTACGAATGAAACAATTGCAATTATTCAACGAATTTTGGTTGCTTTTGGTGTCATACACGGTGAACTAGTAAGCAATTTTTGAAATTCATCTAGCCTAACACCAATGAAGTTGGAAAGTCTTCGACGTAGAGAAGATTTTGCAAATAATGAAATAGTTCGAGGAGAAGTAAGAGTTTCGTGATAATCGTCAATGCTATACATATAGACGAATGGGTCATATTGTCAAGTTTTGCCAAACTCGACCGGCACCACAAGGAAGACGGCTCATACAACAACGATCGTTCAATAACATGATGAGAATAGAGTATGAAGAGTTTGAGGAAGAAGTTTCAAGAAACAAAGATCAACTGTAAATCTGCCTCGTGACCTTATTGATTCTACAAAGCGAAAAAAAGGTGAGGTTGGAAAAAACAATAGTTGGAAGTTGATAGAAGTGGTAAGAAGCAAGTTCAACTCATTGTCACTGATGGTTTGATGGAAAGATACAAGGTGAAAGTTTTTATTGATACTAGAACAACAGAGAATTTTCTATCAAGTAGTGTTGCTATGAAGTTAGATTAATGAAAGACGTGAGTGAAGAAATTGAATTTGCAAACAGGAAAACTTAAGTGATAGAAACACTACCACGAGTGTAAAATTATCCATAGATAGATACATGAAGAGCATTGAATGAAGAATAATGCGTTTAGCTCGATATGATGTCATCTTTGAAATGTCATGGATGAAGCAATATAATCAAGAGATAAATTGGAGAAGAAAAGTGATTACAAGTAGTGGTTAAAAGATCTATGGAGATAAAATTAAATTCTATAAAAGTAATATATCATTCTTTGTGATAGATAAAACATCCATTTCTAGAGATGATATATGTTTTCTTGGACTTATAAGAGATTTTGGGTCCACTAACAAACTTTACATCCCCGAATCTTTGAACGACATTTTTATGTAATATAAAGATGTTTTTCTAGATGATCTGCTTGTAAAATTTTCACCAAAGAGACGATTAGATCACAAGATTGAGGCGATACCTAGAAGCACATCAACTTGCAAAGTTCCATATCGTTTGGCTCCAAACAAATTTGAAGAATGCAAAACTCAAGTGGAGTAAATGTTGAGCAAGGTATTCATTTAATCAAGTGTTTCACCTTATGTTACTCTCGACTCCATCATTCTAGTCATAAAATTTGCACCCCTACAAATCACAAGGTACATCTAAAAATGATGTTTCTTCATGCAACAAAAGTGAATATTGAGTATGTTATGAATCAATCATTGCAAAATTGGATTTCTTTCAAGTACGTCCATATCTGCAAAACCACAATTTTTCCTTTTTTCATTTCTCTACATGCAGATCAATGATTTCTATCAATCTCTGTACACTTTCAAAACTGCATTTGCTATTCCATGAGGGGTAATTCACACTTAAGGAAAGAGAAAGGTTGCTCTAATACCATTATAACACTAAGGTTTAAAGAGAAATTCACTCGAAGATAGAATCATAAACTTTGAAGCTGAGAAATAACAACAATAGTTGTCTTCTCCCTTCTATAGCTCTCATGAACAAGTACAAGGAGATAAGATCTTCTTTCCACCATCCATATCAATCCTAGTGGATGGATGACGTGACGGATAAAGCTAAAAAACACGGGGATTGCTCACGTGGCGCTATCAACTAACACATTCACTCTTTACCTAACAAGCACACGGATTGTTGACGTGGGGCTGTCAACTAACACATCTACTTTCTTCCTAACAAGCGCGCGGATAGTTGACGTGGTAGCTATGACTAGTGTGCGTTAAAGTGTCTAATTCAACATTTGGAATAAACTCTACTTTAGTTTTAACTAACTAAAGATGGTTTAAGTAATCTTCTATGAATGATATGACTACCAATCCGCTTT